ATGGACGTGGGCTGCATGTTAGGATAATTGGTTCCTTTTATACAAGATCTAAATAGCCCATCTCTCCTTGTCACTTTTTGAGAGTGAAGCCGGGATAAGGAGATGGTGAAAAAGAGAAGATGGGGAGAGGATAAGAGCGATGCTGGCCGGAAGCAAGACAAATGTTGAAAGGGGCTTGTGAGATCTATCCGTCTTTCATCTGCTCAGTAGGTGTGAGGGCTGCAGACTAAACTTTCATTTATTTGTAATGAAGAAATCTTATTGGCTCTCTTTATTTTGAACTATCTTTTTGTTTATTACTTATTTGTCTTGCTTTATTGCCCTGGTTGTTGATGCAGAACCTCCTGCAACAGCAGCCTGAGAGCAGAGTGTGTGTACAGGTCCACACTTGTTCAATTGGAAAGCCAGACTCAGGAAGTTGTTCATTGCAGAGGATCTGAGAAGTGAAGTGTGAGGGGAAAGTCCATTTTTTTTTTACACTTTCTCCTCTTAAGAGAAAGGCTGCTGGGTGAAGTGGAGCGTGTGGGGTTAGAGGAGGGAGGAATAAAACCACAGGTTGAGAGAAGTAGGATTACTGTATTTCTCAGCAAGGAAAAGAAAAGTGTGCGCTGTCAAAGCTTTGTAAAACCATAGAAAGCCATGTTTTGAAGTTTAGGAAAAACCTTCCTTAATACTTGTTCCCTTCCTAAATCAAGTATCGGAGGATTTGCCGAGAGGAGATGAGAAGGTGTAAGAGAGGGACGGAAAATATGCATCAGGTCTTTTTTGATTCTGCCTAAATTATTTTGTATTCATATGAGGAAAACAGAGAGAGAAATCGAGAGGCGAGACTCTCTCACATGAATACAAAACAGTGGAGCTGCAATCAAGACTCCTGTGGGGAGTCTTCAGTGTATGTGTGCATGAAGACGATAAATAAGTAAGTATGTGAGGGGGTGTATTGATGTGTGTCGAGTAAGGTATGAGAAGATGAGGAAGAACAGAGATGTCGACGAAACTTCCAACTGCCTGCTTTTCACCACTAATTGAGAATGTGTGTATAAAGCCTATCGCATGTTCGGAGCTAACCTCATCAATATGTGTGGCTTCTGTGGGCCTGTCCCTGTGGGTTCATCCATCAGGGAGACACATCCATGTGAAGACACCAAGCACAGCAGACAGATCAGCCAACACATGGGGGTGTTGTGTCGACACTTGAACCGTCTTGTCCAGTTCTTGTACGGCAAAGGCACATGATGTAATGCCGTGTAAGCCATTCAGATAAAAGGACAGCCGCTATTATTTTTAGGCAAGAAAAGGTTGGAAATTGGAAAGTGAATCAGTGAGATTAAAGTAGAGGTTAAAGAACATCCACACACCCACACATTTGCACCATCCATTTTCCACATTCATTCCTTATCACTCTACTCTGTCCCTAGCCATCACCATCATCTAAGAAATGTCTCTAACCTGAACCTAATTTAAAAAGACAAAAATCCAAGTTTGTATTCTCAACATACCCATTTACTACACTTTTTCTAAAAATCGCTATTTTGATTGGTCCAAAAACAAATGCACAAACCCACACACACACTTGAAATACATTATATAACATTGTCTTTTGGGGTGAGCAAACCCAGTAAAATATATGTGCATATTTATGTAAGACTGAAGGCAATATGTATGTGATGGAGCATAACAAATGTGGGCTGCATTGCATTGGAAAAATGCTATGTGTGGCTCCTAAGGCTGATCCGCCTTAAAAAAGTTTCCTTAAGCGATGTTGTTGCTGTCAATGCTAGCTTTAGTAGACACACTGCACACACACACACACACACACACACACACACACACACACACACACACACACACACACACAACACACACACACACACACACACACACACACACACACACACACACACACACACACACACACACACACACACACACACACACACACACACACACACACACACACACACACACACACACACACACCACACACACACACACACACACACACACACACACACACACACACACACACACACACACACACACACACACACACACACACACACACACACACACACACACACACACACACACACACACACACACACACACACATTCTCCCTTAACGTTCCATGGACTGAACGGAGGGGATTTTTTTGGGGGGTTGTGGCAAATTGGCAGTTTAATCAAATATCCCTCTTTTTGTCTATTTCTCTTAACCTCCCTCACTAGTGTTGAACAAACAACCGGGCACTGAGTTATAACTTTAGAAAAATATCTTTAAAATATCTTTTTTAAACAGTGCTTGAACCTGTGGGCATGTACCGTGTAGCCTACCTCCCTCCTTTGATCTTTGCAGCATTAACCACTGACTGTTCTATCGCTGAAATGGCTCATTACCTCCCTTATCCTCTCGATTGCTTTTTTATTGTTATGATATCTTTATGTCTGTATTCCTCTCTCTGCCTCCCACCTATATTCCGTATCCATCCATAACTCCCCGCAAACCAGTTGTGGGCTTTTCAGATGTCACTCGGCACATCTCCTGGTCTCTCACAAACTCGCAGCGGTTTAATTTGTATGCTACCTTCGGCTGCAACATTTGATATACAAGGAATCCCCGGGCTAATGCATTGCAAATTCGTCTCAATAATGAATTGCGTGGGTAGGATCAAAGGCATGGATACAGAGCATAGCACCTTGCAGAGGAATGCCGGGGACCCAGAGTTGCTGAAGGCACTAATGAACCAAAACTAGCAATCAGGAGGGACCTAGGAATGTCAGATGGGCTAGCTATGGGACGACACTCACACACAAATAGATCCATGCAGAAAATCAAACAGAACGTTGCACATTTATAGAAACGACATGGCAAACTGAAGAAAATAAAGTATACAGTGCTATCTGATAGTATTATGTAGATGTGTTTTTCATATTGGATTTAACATAAAACATGTGCCAGAGCAAGAATGAGTTAGTGTTGGAGTGTGTTGAGTTAAAAGGCTTGCATGATATTACCAGGGCAGATATACATTTCTGCTGCTGTCTGTTAAAAGTTATTGAATATGATCACTATCATGTACGTTTATTATGAATGACTTCCTATCCCCTAACATTGGTGAATTATTATTTATAGAATGTTTAGAAAAAGTGCCGGGATTCATAAATGTCATACATGCACCACTAGGATGGTCAAGTGATTATCTAGGAGAAGTTAATTCAATTTATGAGAAGAGAGATTATATCCCTCCTACTTAAACCATCTATTGTGCTCATCGCCTCCTCACATGCTCCTTCATGTACACATGCATTTATGGATTAATCAGTATCCTCCTTCACAGCACTGTTCCCACATGTACCTAGGCTTACACACTTATTTCATTAGTTTACTGCTCTGCTTTATGACAGTGCATGCACACCATTGATATTCCAAACACGTCCAACACAATGCTAGCTCCATGTTTGTGGCTTAATGGCCGACCATTTCGATGCTGTCAAAACATGGGAGTTATCATAAACATGCTGATTTATGACTGACACATGTCTGCTGTCCTGAGTAGCTTAATGGACGGAGAATGACACATACGGGGTTAAAATGTCTATTTTCCACAAGGACAAAATCTTGTTAAAATGTATCCTACAGTATGTACTTGATGTATCTATATATCTATCTATCTATCTGTCTGTCTATCTATCTGTCTATCTATCTGTCTATCTACTGTATGTTCAAACATTTTGAATTGCTTGCACACTGGACAAAAAAAATGTTCACTGTCAGATGGCTGAAAAGACTCTGACTTTGAATGGTCTTTCATGCTTTTAGGTTGTAAACATTTGCAAAAAATGTCATATTTTGTACATGGGAACTAACACTATACAATGGTCCATCCAGACTGGCAACTGAAAGAGCATACAAACAGACAAAAACACCTCTGAGAAAAGTTCAAATGAATAGCAAAAATGTATTGCTAAAAGGAATTGAGAGCTTAGCATCAAAATATGTGTATTATTAAAAAGGAGCAATTTATTGTTTGAGTATCAAGTGCAGAATATTGCCTGAAGTATAAGAAGCTTGAATTAAATAAAGCACATTTTCAAACTTCAGAATAGAAATAGGAAGTTGGTCGAGGGTTAGCTCTATTGGAACAGGAGCCACAGGAATGGGCACATCAACAAACATTTGCATACATGAGTGAATGCACTGAATGAATACAAAGCAGGCGCACGCAAGTGCACGCAGAGTCAATAGAGGAAGGCAAATAGTGACAGATGGAAGCAATTTTGAAGGAAATTGAAGCATGTAGCTAGTTATTCCTAAATTCCTATAACTTCAGACAATACATTTACTGATGCAGAACAACAAAAAAATTGTTTTCTAGCTGTTACAATTGGGGTAATAGGCTGATTGTGTATTGAGTATTGAGTATTATTCCCAGCACAACCTTTTAGGAATCACTACCCTGCGGCATCTCAGGAACACATTAAGGAAATATTGGGGGATCCTGCAGGGCACGGTGTGGAAAAAGGACTGCTGCCACTACCCTAACCATATGGAGAGAAATATCTTTGATCACAAAAAAAATATGCAAGAATGGAAACAAATATGATGCTAGAGAATAACCTAAGTTTACATTTTCTAGAAAGCTATCATCAAAAACCTCATGCTAGATACAGGGTCTTGCAGGATTTTGCTTACTTGCATTAAGTCAAATCCAAGAGAGTAAAGCATAGAACACACAATCATAGCCCAACACTTGACTTTCTTAAGGCTCTGAGGTGGCATTTCCCCTTACCCAGTAGTAACTCAACTATTGGCCAATAGCAGCTCGCTGAAGATTGATTACACAGCAGCCTGTGAAAGTGATGAATACCACAGCAAAAAGGAGGTCTAAATTGGAAGTATATTGAAAGGTGGTGGATTGAAAGAAAGAAAGCCCAGGAAAAGAACAATGTAATCAGAAAACTAGAAAGGCACGAACAAGGAAACAAAGAGTTGTTCAGACCTAATAGTGCTTCCAGAGGGGGCCTCGATGGTCCAGATGCAGTGCAGGTTGTGCTCATAGGGCGCTGGGTAGCCCGGAGACAGGATACGACCAGAAAGCTCGTCCTTGAGGGCGCCCCCACACTCCGCTGGAAAGAGGAACAGAGAGAGCGACAGATTAAGGAGCTGAGCAATTAATGCTAAGAGGAAAAGAAAAGGTGTAAAATAAGTACAAGCGCATCAATGTTCTGAAAGTCAAATTAATAAAAGGATACGGCAAGATTAACATACTTAACATGCCAGAAACTGCATTATCCCACTTCCAGTAAAGTGCATCGCGCCGGTTTCCTCTCATCATTATTAATTATTGACATGGTATAGTCGAACGCTAAAGTTTGACGTGCGTCATCATCTTGTTTGCAATTTGAATGATAAGAGGGAGAGCAGCCAACTTAATATACTCTGTGCATCCTCTTGGCTCAGTGAAGGCAATCCACCAACTTTACAAATGACCTCATCCTGTTACCTTTAAAAGTTGATGGACTGGAACAACATAACTTTCAATATGTTTAAAGAACTCATTTTCACTGATATGGAAAAATGGGTTGGGGTTAAAGGGACCCTAAGATGCTTTTATCGGGGTTTCCCTTTCCTGTTGTGTGGTATTTAGGTTGCTGTGCATGTAAATGGCCTGCAACGGCTAAAATCACAAACGTCCCTACAGAGGGAGTTTCTCTCCCAAACCCCCCCACCCTGTCTGAACACCTCCATGGGTCCCCTCAGTGGACTTCCGTAACATAATGACATTATTTGTACATTGTAACACTTGTGCTTCTATTGGTTAGTGCTCCAACACATTGTACATGATAGGCTAAGAGGCGGGACATCTCTAAGCAGTTGACCAATCACAACAGAGCCGGCAAGCTAACCAATCAGAGCAGACTGGGCTCTGGTTTCAGACAGAGGGTGAAAATAGGTGCTGCAGCACAGGCAGTATGAGAAAAATAAAGAGCTTTTTGAACATTAAAGCATAGAGACATGTCACAGTAGAGACACAAATAACTAACTGGGATAGGAGTGTAATAAGGCCCCTTTCATGTGAGTTAAAGGCATTTTAGGGCTCAATCTATAAATATGTATACTCCAAGTATGTACAGAATAGATACATGTTTCCTATTTCGGAGGTGTCATTGATATTAGCATCTACTGGACAACATGAGACTATGATCATACCGAAAGAGTGGAAGACATCCGAGTATTGTCATTGAGATGCTTATGGGAGTGTTTGTGGCAATAGGTGTAGTGTTTGTAGACAATATGGTTCTAGTATCATATCACAGTTCAACAAGCCCCCCTGAGGAGCTCAACAGACATCAAACATGAGCTCCATCTCTCAAGATATTGACAATCATGCATCTCTGATACTACAAAGCAAAATCAGGGGCCACAATATTTTCTCAGGAACAGTGGGAAGAATGGAGGTATTTTTTCAGCTTCAAGTAATACATTTCCATCAGAAAGGCTTTGTGACTGAAAAGCAATTTTCAGCCCCCCTTCAATTACCCCCTCCTACTCTCATCCAAAAAGTGAATGAAAAAAAATGTTCTTTCAACAACATTAGACTTAAAGTGTTTTTGTTAAGATTGTTGAAGTCATCTCATCTGACAAGAAGAGGGTACAAGTCTTCTACTTTCCTTTTTCTTCCACTGAGAGGAAAATAGCTCTTTCAAACAAGGGAAAAATGGAGGTCAAGAAATCATGCTGATGATGATGATGTGACATCAATCTCATGAAAATAGACCCTGTGTTGAAATACGGCAACAGCAGAAAACACACGCATGAACAGGCTGGCAAGAAACCAACTCAGGAACTAACTAAGTGAACAAAACAGCGCTCACACTCAAAGAGAAGATCACACCATCAGACAGACAAGCTGTTTCTCCGTAAACAATTTGTCACCTTTCATTTGATAAACATGCCTTTCCTTGCGTAAGCAAATATGCTTTGTTTCTCTCCTTGCCCTCCTACTTCACATTCTTCGTCTCCCTCGGGCGTTGTACATTTCAACTGCAATAATCACCAGAGCTGGCCTCTGATCGGTTTTCACACAATACAAAACACAAACTTGAAATAGAGTTTATGAAATAATTAAAATATTGGATTGTCCTCTCTTATGTCACTATATTGGAAGGAAAGTAAAAATGCGAAAATAATGAAAGGGAGAAGATGGAAGAGGTTTTAGTCTCTCTCTTCAAGCTTTTCCCCCTCTGTTATGCTTTTCTTGTTGAAAGAAACTTGCTGTTTTTTTTATGGAGTGAGAAGTGAAGAGGGTGATCTATCACTGTGAGACAAAGCCATCTCTTTCCTCTTGCCTTATGACCTAAGAAACTACAGCTCAGTGCTGCCATGGCAGTGTAACTCGCTCAGCTACTCTACCCTTCAATCTGTGTCTGCACATACACCTTTATACAAGTCAGCTTGGATTCTGCCTCTTCTTGTCCCACCATTTTCTCTGTACATTTCCCCACAAGACATACTGTATGTATCATTACACATATATCAAAGTTTGATATATGGAAATAAAGCATGTGGCGCTTTACATATCAAACAGACACATAACATACTTAATGATGGCTACAATAGGATGATCCATTTTGTTTCCAATACATATTGAATTGTGAATTGCATGAAATTATGAGCTGTTTTTGTTTTGTTTTATGTATGTTTGACTGTGTGTGTGTGGACCCCGGGAAGAATAGCCAATGATAGTGCTAATGGGGATCCTAATAAATAATAACACAATCACTTTACTTAAACACAGATACAAATAATGTAAAACGGTGCAAATTGCTAATTAACAAAAATAAATTGGATAGGGACTGTAATTATGAGCAATATTGTTGTTTGTTGTGTTATCATACGACTATGTTCCCACATCAGGGTCGAACACATCGCTGCTCAGGCTTTCAACCTTGCAACTTTCCTCTTCCGTGACTTTCAGGAAATAAACTCTTCCTATTGTTTTCAACTCAATTTCATTCTCCTTCCTCCCCGGCTCGATGTACCCTTCTCATCTGTGTTCAGAGTGTCCCCGCTGCTCCAAAAATAATCCCACCATTACAAACAGAAGCAGTCCCTCATCTGCTCCCAAATTCACTCTGGCTGTTTGGCTATCATTTGCAGCGAAAAAGGGGCACGGGGAGGACAAACCTGTTCAGAGATATAAAGTTTGTTGGATGTTGTTTATACCTAGTCATGAAATTGCCTGTCAGTTTGAGTTGAAATGGGAGCCAAGAGATATTATTCTAATCACCTTGGCGGGTGTCAAAGAACACCAACCTGCCCGTTTTCCTTAACGAGCTTCTGGCTGCTTTCTGAGAGACTCTGTCAAAATGTCTACCATGAGAAGATTGGAAAAGATTGCTCTGCGTTTCTTTTACCATGAAACCATATAGGGCAGTATGTGTGCGTAGGTATGTCAGTTTTGAAACATAATAAAGCAGACCATGTTAGTGTTAGCTGCCAACGACTGACAGGTGAACTGTAGGTGAACCCTACCGAATGCTCAGATGGGTAAACTATCTAATGGAGAAATTATCTCCATAAAATTAATTTTAAAAGTCTTTCCACCACAGACAGTTATGGGTTAATACCTGCCTATGTGCTCGGTGTGCTACTGATACGGGGAGAGTCTTATTTTAGTGAAAATAAATAATGCAAAAAGGGAGTCTTTGCAATCGGGATGCAATATGAATTTATGGAGCGGAATAGAGCACAGTCATTTCCTGATGAGATAATGCACTGAATAAGGTGCTGGGAAAGCAACCAAATGGATGGCCCAAAATAGCAGAGCTATAACAAACCACAGAGCTTCCCTCAACCTGCACCAGCCAATTCACATTGTTATGGAAATAAAACTAGGTCAGACATGTTGGTTTAGCTGAAAGAACAAAAACTGGTAAGGATTAGTAGCGTGCCAAACACTAAAGCAGCCACTGATAAATACAGTAATATAATGTGTTTCAATGCTGCAACCTGGATTATTAGCTTAATTTAACATAGCATTATGAAACCGATGGTGATGTAAGGAAAGGTAATAACACACTGTCCTGTAAGGCAGGATAGCAGAGAATAGCCTTACATTACAGGACAGTTGGTAGCTGATGTAACCAGGTGTGAGATGTACATTTGGTCATGTGTTGCAATCAACACTTTTTTTGCATTTACATAAGTATGTTTAGTCTGCCGTTCTTCATATTTCTACAATACATCCTACATGTGAAAGCCTTAGCTAGTAGATCAATTGCATCCAAACAATTCTCCCACGAAACGTGATGATTTGCTCTCCATTAAACAACACATCTTTACTACAACTTGGTCATCTGCACTTTTAAACTGCTGAATCAAAAAAGTGGTTATTCTGCAAAACAATCTATTTAGCTTTAATACTTTAATTACTTTTTGTTGACAGAATTAATGTCTCAGATCTTTCAAATCTTGTACTGAAATATGTTTCTATGGTTGTACAATACATACTTTTACTTTATGTAGTACTTCCCATGTCACAAACAGACTGATGTTACAGAGATAGGTACAAAACTGTACACATTGTAAATGTGAGAAAACAAATCTAAAGAACCCAAAATGATATTGGCAAATAAACAAATATTTCTCTAAACAGCAAGGACACAGTTCTCTAATCCCCTAAGGACCATCAGACTCACCCATACAGAGTGGGAGGGAGCTGTCCCATGACCTCCTCTCCCCCCTCAGGCAGGTGAGCACCTCGGGTCCTTTCAGGGTGTAGCCTGGGTCACAGTTATACGACACGGTGCTCCCTGCAAAGTGACCCTTGTCCTCCCGCTTGTAGCCAAATTGAGGAGCACCTGGATCCTCACATTTCACCAGCTCGAAACCTTGGATGCAGAGGGTAAGGTGAGGAAGGACAGTACAGCACAGCAGTAGGAAAGTTTTATTAAACAAAAAAATTGTATGGATTTGATGAGGCAACAGAGAGAGTTGGAAGCACATAAACAAACAAACTGTACCAAAATGCAAATGTTAAATGTAAAGAAGGGTGGGTGTTTGTGTGTTACTCACTAATGAAGTGCAGTTCAAAGCCTTTGCTGGTGTTATCCGCATTGCTGACAAACTCCAGCCACATGGAGCTGGAGGTGGTGTTCAAAGTGGTCTCTAGCATCTCGCTGCCTGTAAACACCCCCAGCAGACGAGCCTTATTACTGCTGCCATCAAAGACCTGGGAGGAAGAGAGGCAGAGTGGGAGGAAGCATCTGCATTAAGATGATCAGGTGTGCACATGCAGATATGCTAACAATGCCACACACACACACACACACACACACACACACACACACACACACACACACACACACACACACACACACACACACACACACACACACACACACACACACACACACACACACACACACACACACACACACACACACACACACACACACACACACACACACACACACACACACACACACACACACACACACACACACACACACACACACACACACACACACACACACACACACACACACACACACACACACACACACACACTTCCCCTCCACCCCCTCACTTTCAGCATGTCATCCTCCTCCAGTCTGAATTCGCGTGCTCGTAGCTGGATGCCTTTTCCCGGCTGCGTCTGGATAGAGTAGATGCACTCGTGGTAGTTGCCGTAGTAACCGGGGTAGTTGGGTGAGAGCAGCACCCCTTGCATGCCAGTCACGGATGAGCCGCATTCAGCTAGAGAAGAAGAGAAGGAGCAGAGAGACAGAAAGAGAGATAGAGGAGGTGTTGGAGAGAGCAGAGGACATGTCAATCGCTATATGCTTGAAACTGGCAGAGTATTTATTCATGCCGTCATGCAGAGGGAGATGGGAGAGGTGATGGAGAGGGGGATAAAGTCGATAACTACACCTGAATGTTGAGTGGCACATCATCGTAATCACAATGCAATCTGAATAAGATTAACAGTAATTTCAGCTCTATTTGAAAATTGCTTTTTCTGAATCATATCAGGAAAAGAGTGGACAATTTGGGGCGGCTTTTTATGTAGGAAAATAGCTGCCAACATTTAAATAGCAACAAATGATTCCTGAATGTTATCTTTGGCAGCGAGGTAAGATGAGGTGATGGGACTGTCCCAGAGGTGTATAAATAAATAACGAGTTCCTAATATAAGGCTGATGATATGTGAGAATAAAACAATGTGCCATCATCGCTATCAACTTTTAAAAATGCGGATTCTTCTGGGCCAAACACAACAAGAGCAGCATTTTTAATTTTCTCAGTTAAATATGCAACGAGAACCGGGGCAGAAGAGGCTGTCAAGTAAATTATAATACATTAAAATAGATTGACCTACTTAACACATGCCTAAACACTGACGATAAAACGTAGAGACAAATCCGATATTATTGGTGTGGGTAAAGAAAATAAATGTGACTGCACCAAATTGCTTTGCTAAACTGTAATTACTTGTTTCCAATGGAGAAATGTCAAAATCTTAACGTGAACAAATTACCTCAGAAAAGAATGCGCAAATGGTAAAAAATACTTCCATAAAATAATTAAAGTAGTCCACAATTTGGATATCCAGAAAAGAGCTATGATTAGGACAAACGCAGCAAGGTCAATCATGCCTTGGCCTATGGTTTACCTATAATTAGGACCATTAGGATACCATGTGTTTACATATAAGCACTCTAAAGCAGCTCTTAAGGTTTGGAGCATCATATGATCAACATAGTGACTTCAATCTTTGCAGATCGACTTCAATAACTTCAATAATAAACATATTTCAGCTCTTGAATGTCATCTTCATTAGAGCTAAGCCATCATTTGGACAAAGTCAAAAAGGTTGTTTCTTTGAAGCTGTCCAACAAAGAGACAAAACTCAAGCGCATGGAGAGACGATAATGAGGAGAGTTGAAAGGGAAATGCCTCGTCTTGCAATGTGATTGACAGTTTTGTACATTAATGGGTGGGTGGGTGTGTGTGAAAGGGCGAGTGTGAGGAGGGGAAGTGACAAAAGCCAAAAATAAACATGTGACCACCTACCCACACACCTTGGCAGAGGTGAGCTCCACACCCGCCTCCTGCCCCCTAAGCAGATCACCCTCGCCGGACCCTCCAGTCGGTAACCCGGGAAACAGGAGAAGATGAGGGCGTCGCCCACTCCGTACTGCAGGCCCTTCCTGGTACTGTAGGGCGGGATCCCGGGATCCTCGCATGGCTCCAAATCATACTCTGTAAAAACAAAAGTATTAGTCGTACATAAAGACACTAGGTTAACTGTGATGAGTATTTGTATTTGTTACTTCCATGTCCTGTGATGTTTAAATGTGTGTACATGTAACTGATAACACTTATTCTGTTATGCTTTGAAATGTTAAGAAGTTTAAAACACTGATTCAAAGGAAGTTGAACCATGTTTAAATCGATTGGATATCCTCAAAAAACCAAGATAACATCCAACACAATGTTACTTATTAAAATCAATAAAGCATCAAGTGGCTATGAGGGGTAAAGACATATTTCTTAACATTTAGGCCTCCTTCCAGGAAAGCTTATTATTTTGAGATATGTGGAATTACATTTTTTTATTATATTCTGTATACTGTGTGTTGGATTTCAAATGAAGGGATGCTGTGAGAGCAAAAGGAGGTGAAATGATTCTCTCAGTGGGTAAAGGGCCATCTGTGCTCTATCCTAATTGATTCATTTCAATTTAATCAATTCTCTTGATGTTAACCATTTCATTATTTACTCTCGAGTGGCGGTAATTACATATTTCTAGGACACATACTTAGATAATTATTTGCTCCTTGTTTATGGTGGCCTCCTCCTAGCTAAGCATCACTCTTACTGTGTCAATAACCTTGTAATTAATGGGGTTACAGAGAGTCTCTGATCCATACTTGTCCACTCTCAACAAGTGCTTAATGGTGTAACCTTTTTAAGCCAGAGCTCATGGTCTCTTCCAAATAATTTGCACGGCTCAGTACTGTGACTGGAACTTTTGGCTTTCCTTTTATTCGCCTCTTAGCAATTTGAATGACTAAATCCATTCTCACCAGAGAAAGTGATGTTGAATCCCTCATAGGAAACGGAGAAGTCGGAGAGGAAGCGGATCTGAGCCGTGTAGTTTCCAAACAGGCCTGCGCTGAGAGGGGGGGGCAGAGTGGAGCCCATCAGCCTCCACAGGGGCTGGGAGAAGCTGCCGTTCTCCGTCACCAACAGGAAGTCATGAGGGCTCTCCAGGTGGAACGTGTGGAAGGTGAATTGGACGCCTGAAAAATAGAGCAAAAACATACACTGATATAATGTGTTGTCTATATTGACTTGATCGCACATTGAGGTTTGGTTTCACATATATGTATATATTGTTATTTGCACTATTGTATATATTTGTACTGTTGTTATATTCATAGTTTACTAGACGAGACTCACACCTGTCTCCTATCCAAATTTGTGTAGACCGTTTTTTCTTTTATATATTTGCCGTTGTACCTTCTTTTTATTTATACCTCTTAATGTGTTATATCTGTCTAGGTATGGGTATGTATGTGTTTACATATGTGTTTGTATGCATGTATATAAACCTATATGTATATATATGTTTATTCTTCGGGACGGTGAGACACAGCATTTTGATCTCCCATTTGTATCACACATCCAGAGACATTTAGAATAAAGTTAACTTTGATATTCCTGCAAGCTAAAAACTAAATCAAATGTTTGTTGTCTTGAAGCAGTCTGAACTTTTTGTTATATAAAATAATATATTCCCTGTCTCGTAATGCACACAGCCTCAATTCCCTGTCTTCCTTCCCATGTACTCATCAAAAACGTTATGCCCATGCAGAGAGAACAAATAATCCTGTATCGTTTTGATGTGAGCACTCTACCAAAAGGTGACATGACTGGAGTATTGTCCCGTGGCAGCGCAGCCCTAGGCCAGCCTCTCAGCACTCCAGTCTTAAAGATTCATCGTGTTCGGCAGGATAAAAAAGGGCCACTCAGTAGGGGGAGATAACATTGTAAAGGAAATTGAAGTTGGCTGCTGCAGGCGTTGACACAGAAATGCTCAGCTCACCTTTGCCATGGGAGGTCTCGATTATCCACGTGCAGTTCAGGTTGTGTGGGTAAAAGTCTGGGAAGCCAGGGGACAGGATGGTGCCAAAGTTGCCCTGGATGTAACCTCCACACAATGCTGAAGACATAGGGAGGACAGAAACAGCGAGAGATGGATGAGGGAGAGAAATGAGGCAAAATCAGAAAGGGCAAAACTAAGTGGATGAAGACAAGAAATTAACATTTTCCCCCAAAATTGGGAAAACTTTTCTGGGCATTTACATTGCAGTGAAATACATTTGAAAAGAGGTGCCCTTCAACACAGCAGGAAGAACGAGAGTGGTATCATCAATACCATTAAAGAGTGGGCAGAAATCAATAGTGTCCTCAAATATAAAAGCATTTACAGATGAAGAAAAAGGGGAACATCAAAGGGCAAGCTCATGGCCTAACATATAAAACATTTATGATGAAATGAAGCAGAAACCTTTAAAGCCTAAAACAAGAGTTGTTGAGAGAAATGTTATCATCTTGTATGGATTTTATAATAACTTAGAAATAGCTATTTAAATGTGATGCAACATGAAGCAAAGTACTTCTCATGTTTGGTCTGCAAAAACATACAACAATGAATTTAGCTTTGATCTTATTCATGAAAACTGGCAGGAGACCATTAATTTCTAGGTCCATTTTATGGAACGTACCATCACAGGTAGGCAGGGGGCGGCTCCACTGAAAATTGGGTTCACATTCTAAAGGCTCTGTGTCGCTAAGTGTGTACCCTGCGTCACAGGTAAATGTCACCAAGGCTCCCACATAGAAGTCATTGCCGTGTCGCTGTCCGTTGACAGGTATACCCGGGTCCACGCAGTGATCCGACTGGAGCTGCAGGGCTGGAGAGGAAGAGACAGAAGAGGGGAAATACGATCAGCCACACGAAGGTATTGAAATTCCACCTGCTAGCAGTGTAATTAGGCTGATTTCCTGTTTTCAATAGTTCAACTGTAGGTCAAGAAAAGTTAAAAGGGCATTTTGCTCTCCAAAAGCAATCCCCATAAATAATTCACTTGAACATCCTTCTTCAACAGGAATAAACCAATGAGAAGTTTCAGCTCCCGCTCCGTCTTGCATAGTTTCTGCCTAAGTAACGTTCGCGGTGAATTATTTAAGCCTTGCAGAGATTTCATCAGAGAGTAAAGGTTACCAGCATGAGCCAAATAGGTAGGAATGAAGATAGGAATGCTTTAAGGTTTGGATTTAAAGCATGATTGAAGTGTGTGGTTAAAGCGTGCGTGCAGTTTGTGTAAACGCAGTGTTTGGCAACGTGTGCCAAGGCAGGGATATCTGACAAAACAATCTAACCCCATTTACTTTCTAATTATAGGTGTTCTAATGAGAACAGCTTCATGGTGAAATTGACAGCTTGCGGAGGTTGTATTTACATCTGAGACTGTAACGTTTTTACAAGTACAGTGAACAAGGCTTATGAAGCACGGCTAAATAAGCCCTTCATCTACCGTACTGTCTCTTTGGTCGTGTGTTTGATTTTTAGCGCACTTTAAGCTCTTACTTTCGTAACGTATGCGGAATCCGATGTCCGAGTGGCTCTTGTCAGTTGAGAAGAAGAGAAACAGGAAATTGGAGGTGCTGATGAGGAACTGGGGAACCTGGGTTCCCTGGTAACTGCCAATGAGATGTGAAGAGGGAAAACGTCCATCGCGCACCTCGAGGATGTCATAGTTGACCTCTGTGCGGAACCTGAGAACAGAGTAAAACAAAGTAAGTTGATTGTTGATTCACATCAAAAACAAAAGTTATTTTCTCTACTGGATCCCACGTCTCAGAGGGTTACTGCACTGATTGGGGAGTGAGAGGGTTCATGCTGCAATCCAAGACCCTTCAGTCAACATGTTGAAGAGTCCTTGGGCAAGATAACTGACCGCAGATCACTCCTGTAGGTGTCTACGGGTCAAGTCTATGTAAATCGCTTTGGATAAAAGTCTCAGCTAAATAACTTGTAACTTCAAAGTGGGCGAATTTGATTTTAGGTAAATAATAATGAGTAAGAGACATTTAGAATGATCAAGGAACTCCACTCATGAACTGATTATAAAACCAACTGAAAACCAGGGTTGTGATTTTTAAAAAGATCATTGATTAAATTGTCACGTTCCCTGCAATCTGAATAAAAAGAGATTGATGCTTGAATTAACATCAACTCAGAACATTTTGCTTTTAACCCACATGCTAATTATAAATTAGCTGAATTATTTCTAATTTGTACATGATGAGTTTTAGAAAAATTCGGAGACATTTGGCATGCATTGGTAAGTGGATCTGTGTAGCGTGTGTGTGTGTGTGTGTGTGTGTGTGTGTGTGTGTGTGTGTGTGTGTGTGTGTGTGTGTGTGTGTGTGTGTGTGTGTGTGTGTGTGTGTGTGTGTGTGTGTGTGTATGCTTGTTGTGTGTTTCTCTCTTTGTTGCCAGAGCCACTCATCTTCAAAGCCATGAATAAATTGCTGAGCTTCAGAACCATGTCATCTGAATGAAGCGGTTTGTGGTGTTTTATTGATGTTACATATAAATTAAAGAGCAACACACATTTATGTTGTATTCAGTTTGCATTGCATGTCAGGGACGAGGACGAGATGCGCTCGCAACGATGAGCCTTCGTGAAACGCTAATGTAGCGTTTGATCCTGCGAGTGTACATCTCTATCTTCCACAAACATCAGGACAAATGACGGACCATCTCCGCTTACACATGCATTGCAAACTCATGTACATATAGCAAATGTAGGCTTAAAGGTGGGGTAGGTAAGTTTGAGAAACCGGCTCGAGATACACTTTTTGTTATATTCCATGGAATGCTCTTAACATCCCGATAGCAATGAATATCTTAAGTGCTTTGACAAAAAATCCATAAAAAAATGTCATCTGTGGAAGCCGTAGTGCTGTAAAAAGTACGACCAATAATTTTAGCCGGCCGGGCTAAAATAACTGGATGGCCTACCTGCCTGTCAGCCTTCCATCTGTGCACAAACTTATCTTGTGCCCTCATTGGTCATGTGCGCGTTCGTGTGTGTTGGAGGAGGGGCTCTGTAAGGAAGTCTGAAGGAAGAGGCAGATTTCTTCCGGCTGTGTATTTTCAAATTCTAGCGCACTCGAGCTGGTTTCTCCAAAATGACCTACCCCACCTTTAAGTGGAGTTCTAACAGTAAATGTGTGTGTGTTTAAACTGTAAGTGCATTTGTGGATCATTAGGGAGGGGCTATCAAATGAAGAATGAAATACTTATGAGTGTGCACTAAATAAAACATAGTGTTATCCTAGTTGGTGGTGTATGTTAATGCACATTAGATCTACTGCATAACCACCAGAAAGAGAAGACAGACGAAGAGATTAAAGGGGCTCATTATGCTTTTGGGCTTTTCCCTTTCCCTGTAGTGTGTTACTAGGTTTGTGTTCATATAAATGGTCTGCACAGGCTAAAATCCAAAGGTTCCCTCCAGAGGGAGTTTCTCTAACGCACAATCCCTCCTGCCTGAATGCCTCCATTGGACTACTTTGTTTACTTCCGTAACATAATGACATCACTAAGCAACACATGCGCTTCTATTGGCTAGCCCTCCAACACATGGTACATGATTGGCTAAGAAGCGGGACATCTCTTAGCAGTTGACCACTCACAACAAAGCCGGCCAGCTAACCAATCAGAGCAGACTGGGCTCTGGTTTCAGACAGAGGGTGAAAGCATGGAGAGATGCCACAATAGAAGCTCAAAATACAAATATGAAACCTGAAATGAGCATACTATACTAACGTCCTCTTTACATAAAGGGATAACAAGCAGTGGGAAGAATGTGAGCACATATTGTAATTGTGACAAGGTAAAGTAAAGCTTGCCCTGAAAAATAGACGAAAAAAGAAACATTTACACAGCAGCAGTTGCTATCTGTGTGACTCACTTGTCGAAGATGATCTTGATGGGGTAGCCTGGAGGAGCCTCAATGATCCATTCACAGTTAAGGGCCTCCTTATAGAGTTCTGGCCAGCCGGGGGAGAGGATGATCCCACTGGGAGCCTTCAGTTCCCCTCCACACGGGGCTGACGGAGAGAGAGAAGAAACCGAGTGAGAGAGAGAACAGATAGAGATTGAATTATGCATGTCTTCCCCATCTGATGTATGACAGTGTTCATAGATGATACCATGCATCAGCCGGAGCTCATCCCATTTCTTTTAGTGCCAGGGTCTATCTAATGTAAACTGGTGACGTCTCACTTCAAGGTTAACCATTTTCTCCTAGGGACATACCTCTCCATCGGACGTGTGCCTGTGTGCACAAGGGCATGCATTACATAACCATGTGTATGCATATGTCTCCTCCCTTATGCTGCTGTCTTTAAATCCATCAAACCCCCTCCCTTAAAAGGCGCCGCTGTCACCCCCATCAAACTGAGAAAACGGAGCGCCTTTGATCGCTAGAACAAAAGACGCTTGAGCACATCGACCCCCGTCTCATCGTCTTACGGGTTTCACTTTGCCGTGCATTTAGTAACTGCCTATCCTTAACCACAACACACGGAGCAGGGCTTAGTTACAGTGCCAGCTCCTGGCTCCCTTTGAAGTGGAATGATTTAATCAGCCAACTCAGCATACTGAAGGACATCTATAAAACGCATTACTCTACAAACGCAGGGGTATGATAGATGGCCTCAGAGGAATACAAAGCTGCTGTGGCACAGGGGGAAGTGACATGTTTTCATAATGGTTTCTCTTCTGTGTATCGTGAATAGAGAGCCTGATTAGACCCCTCAGAACTCTAACCATGTCCGTGCTTAATGTGATACGCTGCCGGTGTCCAAGAGCCTGAGCTGGTTAACACCTAGCTGTATCTTTGCTTTGCCAGCTCTATTGGCCTTTTCTGATTTGCTGGAAATTGTTTATTGATATTGAGTCAGAGAGGGGTAAATGGACGGTTCAGCAATCTGCATGTAAGCACAGCATGTCTGCAACAACAGATCATTTGAAAGCAAAACAAAGCTTCTGTATCATCACAAGCAATCTCTTCCCTTTCGTCAGATTTAGAAGAATTTATGATATTATTGATATTAATTAATCGTATATGCAACATTTGTAAAATAAATGTAGTAATCCATCAAAGACGAAGCAGCAAATCCATTTTTAGATAGATTTGATGTTGATTGATTTCCTTCCCTTTATACACACCAATCCATTCACTGTTTGGATGTGCAGAAGATATAATCTCTTTACAATCACAAGATTCAGTTATGCTACATTACCAGCTAGAAAGAACATAAAAACAAATACTCCCATTTCATCAGTTTTTAAGGGATAACACAGTGGGCACTTGGCTAATGAGATGCTCGACCACGGTACGAATGCTCTCATATCAAATATATGCAAATTCCTCCTAATGATTTAAATCCTCTGCATATTTAAAGTGATTATATCTAGATTATCCTTAGACACAACTCCTACAATGCCATCTTAGATACAATGTGTGACTGGTTCAAAAATATGGGATAAATCCATCTTTACAAATATGTTTAAACAATGTCAGTTATCATAAGGAGGTTTTTTTTTATGCACCCGTCTGAGTCTCTAGCATAGGCTGTAATGTCATGCCAGCTAATGAACAAAACAAACACTCTCCTCAGCCGTAAACTAAGTGAAACTAAGAAGAAATTAGGTCCAACTGTAACATTTGTGAATGACCAGATGAACTCACCTTCACAGCGGGGAACTGCATTATCCCACACCACGTTGCCATCCTTGAGAATGCAAGAGACTGTCTGCGAGCCGTGAGTCTTGACGAAGCCCTCCTCACACAGAAAGGAGATGGAGCTGCCCAGCTGAAGGCTCTCACCGAAGCGCTTCCCATTCACCGGCACACCCGGGTCTGGGCACTCGTTATGGCGAAATGCTATCGGAAATGCAGAGAGGACACAGGGTTAGTGTGAAGAAGAATCAAAGTTACAAAAACATTCAGTGATTACTTCCCTTAGTCACATTTAGGCAACAGGCGCATATTTAATGGGTAGGGAGGTGGGCTGAAGATCGGAAGGTTGGGAGTTCAAATCCCGCCAGGAACACCACCACTAGTGTGCCCTTGAGTAAGGCACTTAGTCCTTAGTTACTCCAGGGAGAATGTCCCTGTAATTGGTCATTGTAAGTCGCTTTGGATAAAAGCGTCAGCTAAATTAAATGTAATGTAATATGTATTTGTGAGAGGAATATTTCACCTGCATTTCTGCTGATATTAATCCTTGTCACATGTAAGACTTTCTGTGGAAAGACACTAATTTCCATTGAGATTCTAAAATAATTAGCCAAGTTTCTGGACAAAACTTGTTTTTTTTCCTTCTGTCAGCAATTAACAATGCCAGCATTTAACGAGAGGACATTTATTTCACTTAGTGAGTCACATTGATTCACCCTGCTGCAGTGATTACAGAGGGTGTGAAACCTCACCGTATGCACATTATCAGCGCCAGATGACATGGTGGAATGATACGTGGAGTGGAGGAACAGGGAAAATTGTTTTCATACATCATCAGGACTTTATATATTAAGCTTCTCAATGAAACTTCAGGCAGGAACCAGTTATAAAAGGACGGGTACGAGACGCAGTCACACAAGAAGAGGCATAACCCTGGAACAAGGCATGTAAACAAATACATCACCTGCGCCTCTCTCTCCCTCTCACTTACTCTCTCGCTCTCACTCTTATACACACACGCAGGTGGGTGTCACGCGTAGGTGTTGATGAATCCCTCTTCTGTAGCCATTGGACCCAAACAGAGTGCCAGGCAAACCTCATCCATCACGATCATCTTATTTATTAATGTGCCAAAAATCCCCTCAATACAGTTTGGCATGTCCTTAATTAACATGAATGACGGAAGCTGTCCGCTCATTGCTACCCTCCCCCCCCCCCCCCCCCCCAAAAACAGTCCTGCAGTTAGATGACACTGTTTTTCAGGAACTAACCGTCATCTTCAATTAACTGCTGCTGACATTCATTTACCACGCTGCAGTGGTAATTTATTCATCTAACTTGCTAATTAATGCATTAGCCGCCATGTGTTGTCCACATTGTGGTTTTAAAGAGACACCTGGGTTCGGTGGATGACATGCTTGCAAATGAGCTAAAGCCATGTCCCTAAAGCATTCTGGGTAAGCTGATGTTTGTTTCTTTCAGCTCAAACAGAAATGGTAGAAATGGCTAGAAACAGAATACAGGATCAGTCTTCTGAGTATTGCCATTTTACATTCCAGTCACCACGGTGTATTAAATAACTGAATAAGTTGCAATATTAGGGAGGCGGGGGGCGCAGTGGGTAGAACCTTGGTGTTGGGATTAGGGGGTCACAGGTTCAAACCCCACTGCTGTCAGCATGTCGTTGTGTCCCTGAGACACTTCACCACAAATTGCTCCTGTGGGGATTGTCCACAGTATTGAGTATGTAAGTCACGTCTAACAAGTAACATGTAATGTAATGTAATAAGTCCAGATGAGTTTATCACAATGGTTGACATTGCTATGACGACATATCAAATAATATATTGTGCAGTTCAATTACCAATACTGTTTTAAGAATTTGTCAATGGCTACAAAGCGCGTATTAAGTATAGAATGTGCCGATTACTACAAGAATAATATTAAAAGTAATAACGATAATGATAGTGCATCTGGAAAATGCTTAACTTCAGACATACATATGATATGATACAGCTTTTGAACAGGGGACATTAAGGCACACGATGTATTGTAATTGTTCACATGATATTCAAAGCATAAAGGGCATATTGTTTTTGATGTACAAGATTAGATGGCACTTTATGATTGATATAAACCCAAATTACAAAGATACAGGCTCAATGAAAAACGATGAGTGCCATATGTGATGCTGAAGTTGACAAAAGTCAAGGGTATATCTGTGTGCTGAGTAGCGTTCGGGTACATTAACATTAGTAATAGAAACAGACAGGTTTAGATGAGATTAAATATGAAGTCTATTTCATGTTCTGCTGCTCATTTTATGAAGATTTAAAGGCTACATGTTTCAGTAAAATGTCCTTCATTTCAAATGAATAATTTGGTTGGAGTGATGTAAAAGAAAATTGAGCTGCACTTTAAGGGAAGGAATCTGTGGCGGATTTTGATTCCTTAAAGAATGTATTTTAGTTCTAATGCAGTAAGTGATATTCTTGTCTGACAAATGTATCACCACTGTGGCTGGATGTGTGTGTACATCATGCCTGAACCTGGCTAACTAATGATGTGCTCTCAAGTACAATAACTCTATGATACTGTGTTAAACTCAAGGTGAGAAACACACACTAGACCACATAAAGAGCAACAAACTGTAAAAGTAAAAATAACATTTCATTGCATGCATTAAAGTGAGTCACTGCAACTAATGGACAACAAACCGTATAAAGACAAACCTCCCAACGGCACCTTTACTGTCTCTAAAACAGCTCTGTGGCTTTAAAAGGGTTAGGGTTAGGAACTAGGGAGATGTTTATATTGGGATGTGGATAATGCAAAGATCAGGCTCATTTCACAAGAATGCATATGCAACGAAAGCAATAATCCTGCTGCCAAACCCTCACGGTACAGTATATCCATGAAATGGGTTTACCAGCATGCAGCCAACGTGTTCTGCGTCAGAGTAAAAAACCCATCTGGAGTTTCCTCAGAAGTCAGCAGCTACCCAGAATAGAACATAATGAGCTCAGCCTCGATGTATCTGTCAGGTAAGGAAGCTGCATCTTTGTTTGGATGTCAAGTTTCTATTTAGACAATAAAGACAGGGTTTTTGTCTTTGCGACTGGAATCTTTTGCTGAAGGGTTTATGCAGTCATACAATGGGAAACAAAGATATGGCAGATGATTCATGCATGCACAGAAACTGAGAGCAGGTTTTTGTGATAAGCTTTAAAGACTTCCCTATTTCTTATTGGAAGTAACATTTAATACTCACTTGTAAAGGTGATGTTGAAGCCTCTGTCTGTGTAGGTGTGGTCAGTCAGGAACTCTAGCCGGGCCACATGGGCACTGGTTGTTATTGAAGGAGGTAGGACGTTACCGGAAAAGGTGCCCAGGATAGGAGACTCCGCCTGATAAAAACACATATCTGATGAGACCAAATGCTGAAGAGAGTAATCGTTTGAGAGAAAACAGCAGCTACAGGAGATACGCAGATATCATAAGACCAAGGACAAACACACAAACAGCTTAGAAACTTATTTGTTCAGGCTGCTTCTACTCACACACACAATGACATGTCGATAGTTGAAGTTGCATTAAAAGAATACACCAAGAAACCAAGGACACAGCTTTTTTCAACAGTACCTTTCCCCCGTCCTTGATGGAGAGGAAGTCGAACTGTTTCTCCATGCTGAGGTCGTTGAAGGCCAGATTGATGCGGCTCTCAGGGTTGCTGATGATGAGCCACACACAGTGCATGTTGTTGCCGTACTCCTGAGGGTAGTTAGGAGACAGGAGCACCCCGGATGGAGTGGTAAAGTTGAAGAAACAGGAAACTATAGCGGTGATGAAGAGATATAGACAAGAGAGAAAGGGAGAAATAAATAAAACAAAGCAACATGCACTGAATATGGTTTAGGAGGCTGAACAACTAATTCTGTTTACTTCTGCCGAGGGACAATATGATTCGATACTTTGGTATAAACCACACCACACATTCTGTAGATATCATAAAGACAGCAGACACCACCATAATACACTGTGTACAATTACAGTTATATTAGGCTTACAATTGGTCCATTGGATATAAAAGTAATAACAACTAAATATGTTATTGATATTGATGAAAATTGCCAAAGACATCATATCATAACATTTGTTTGTTGCTCATTAAGGCAAAATGTTACTATTTATACAGTGTTATATGAAGGGAGGAGCTTTTTGGAAAAACAAGTCAAGTAAGCCTTGAGGCCTGAAATGGGGATAGAGACATCTTAAGCCAAACTGAATCTTACAACATTTAAGAAGAAAAATTATTTTCTTTTGTGTTGTCAATGAAAAAGAAAAGGCTCTGAACTCCCTCCCTGACAACTATCAAGGCTGTCACTTGATCCCAATTACTCAGATGGATATCCTTACACAGCAACAGCACAATACCTTGATGTTACTGGGCAGATGTGGCCCTCTTTGAAAAGCTAGACCACAATGTCTGCTTTGTTCATGAAGCTCTGGCAAGGCTAAAAAAGCAGGTATGAATATGATGTCAATGGCAGTGCTCTCCTTCACTGAGATATGAAGGAGATCTGATAGGAAAAACACTTTCAGGCTGTCATGGGCACTTGCACCCATTCCTGAAACAACTCTGCATCTTTGTCAATTTTCTAAGACTAAATAGATTTCAGATGAAGAATAGCTCATTTAAAAAGGCAGATTTGTCTAGCGTCCAGGTGCTGGGCTCTTTCACTGTTAGGGGATGTTTTCAAATAACACAGAGTTTCCAACATGTACGTAGGTTGACCAGGAAATTCAATTACCTTAAACTTAATTGAAATGTCAAAATCAACAATAAAGTTCAAAGTTAAAGAACAAAACATGGAAAGGTTGAGGTCGTTTTAGCATTATACAATTAGGTCTGTCCTTGACTAAAGAAATTCTTAGTCGACACTCATACGGTTTTGAATATGCACAGAGGCTTTAAATAGCCGACTCATGGGAATACAACTATTAGAATTTACAGCCAACTGTTCCTTTTTATTATTTAATTAATCAAAGTCAAATGCTTACCCAGCAGTGGAGGAGCAATTTGGGTTTTTAATATTATCATCCTTGGTCTCAATTGAGCGATGACAGGGCTTCTGCCTATTGCCCTAACATGGTATTGACTTTATCATTTTTTACAAAACAATTACGAGCCACCAGATTGATCAGAATGTGTTCAACCACATAAATACATTATATTAATAATAACAATGCCTAGTACCTGACGCAGAGGCAAACAACCAACTAGGCAATGGACAGCTTTACATTTAGAAAAGCACATCCTCATATTAACATTATCAAATTAAATGACAAAAGTGTCTACATTACTATAATAGTTTCATACATATTTACATAATAAACAGAATGTTCCAGTGTTACGTGACCAAATTGACTCTTGTGTCATTCAGCCTGGTGATGTTTATCTATACACTGCACCTTTTGTCCATCCTATTATCTTATCAATTATACAACAGTGGACATTATCCGCAGGGTCAGCTCTTTTCACCCTCTAACTCTGACACTGGGTGTGTTTGTCTTTCATGGCGTTAATTAGCTAATAAGCCTCTGCTGGGCAAACTGCAGGGATAATCTGATCATTTATTATAAAGCCCTCTGCACAAACATACATATGCATGGCACATGTCGGCACGTGGTGAATGTACAATCTGAATTGCACGAGGCTCCCGAGAACTTACAGACGCAGCTGGGTTTCTTCGCTGACCACTGGTTGTTCTTCTGGCAGGTGATGTTCTTCTTCCCCACCAGCTCAAACGCAGGCAGACACTCAAAGTACAGTTTGTCCCCGTGGCGGAAACCTGTCCCTTCTCGCTTTCCGTACGCTGGGAATCCAGGATCTCCACAACTTCCCTGGTCAATTTCTGCGTAAAATAAACACAAAGGCAAGAACATTTAACATGCAAAACTGATATTGATAAAAAAATCATCATTACAGACGGAGACACATGGGGGGTTGAGCAAATAAAGACCTGGCTCTGTTACTTGGAGTCATAGTAGAGATAAATGTTAAGGTTACAATTTAATTAACACAAGCCACCACCGCGACTGTCCTCTCTTTAACCTTCATATTATCTTAAATACTATTGTTTAGCCAATTAGACAGCCACGGTGGGCCTGCAGCATATGATAATTGTATTTCCTGTAGTTTTCTAGATGAAATAAACACAAGATGGATGTGCTAGAGGGAAAGGAGGTGAGGCAGAGAGACATCTAAACTCAAGGTTATTACTGACTGTAGCCTCCAGCAGATATTGACAAGATACTACTACATGGGTAATAAAGTGATATGAAGATGCAGGACCTCACACTAAATCAAAACCAACACTCATTAATTCCAGTTTCAGGAAAATGTGTGTTCAGCTTACTGAGTGGGAATTATTGAATACTGCTGGTTTTTGTGTGACCCTTTATTGCGACACAGCAAATGTCCCAGGTAGGCCAATCGAAATACATTTCCCCAAACCCAATTTATTCATTAGTTCCAATTTACATTTTTTTTTCTTTTGCTGACTGTGGAAGCCTGCCAGAGTAGTGCATTCATGTGCAGTCATGGCGTCTGCAGTCTGGAAAAAATGACTTTGAATGATGAGCAAATGACTTTGCTTATCATTCTATACAACGCTGATTTGCAGCCAACTTTGAACTGCTGGATGTGGGAGCACTGTCCCAGCCCCTGCATCCTATTTACGTAATAAATAGGATGCAGTCTACATTACCACTACTTACTACAGGAACATTTGACATTAAAATGAACTGTTAGACACTACATTTTTTAGCCTTTTTGGAGTTGTCCCTTTTTTTGAGTGTGTTATATAGATTTGTGTGCATGTAAATGGTCTGCAAAGGCTGAAATCCTACAGTTCCCTGCAGAGGGAGTTTCTCTCACGCACACTCCAATTATGTAACTATGTAACACTCGCGCTTCTATTGGCTAGCGCTCCAACACATTGTACGTGATGGGCATAGGTGTGGGACATCTCTAAGCGTTTGACCAATCAAAACAGAGCTGGCCAGCTAACCAATCAGTGCAGACTGGGCTCTGGTTTCAGACAGAGGGTGAAAAGAGGTGCTGCAGCACAGGCAGTATGAGAAAAATAAAAGGCACTTTTTGCCACAAAATACAATTCTGATACCTGAAAATTAGCACAATAGGGCCCCTTTAAAGCAACGTTATCCATATTAAATAGAAACTATTTTCTGAGGCAAATAACTGCCTGTTTTATTGATAAAATAGTATATGTGCTGGATCAGCAAAGTACCAAAGAGAGTAGAGTCGAGCCAAACCATGCAGTGGAAATGAGACAAAAGCCATTCCTGTCTGGCGCCTTTGCTAAGAATGAATGGATATTATAATGTCAATACATAATAATACAAAACAATTATATATCAAGCAACTTTCAAAACAAAGTTACACAGTGCTTTGCATGATTGAAAAGAACAATAACCTTTTAGAACAAGAAAAAAAGCAAATTCCAATTAACAAATTAAATGGATATCAAAAAAGCCTAAAGTAATATGAAAATAGAAGGAACTATTATCTTAAAAGATAAGAGATGTTGGAAATAAGATAAGACATGTTGGAAATAATATGATGTGCTCAGACAAATAAAAACGTTTTTTTATTAAAAGATAATTGTATTAGCGATGACTCAGTACAGAGTTAATTTTGGTCCGACGAGGCAGAGTAGCTTTTACACTTCATTCCATTATAATTGATGTGATTTTCCTTTTGTCACATAATGCATTTCATTTCTGGACAATTTAATTTCCACTAAGTAGTCTTGACTGTCTCCTTATCCTCTCAACATGTTACCAACTAATTCAGCAAACTTCTCTCTCAACTGTGTCTCTTGTTTCCGCTGCAAATGTATCTCTCCTTTCACTGTGTGAAAAACGTTCTCACTTTTGTTGGAAGCTGATGTGAGCACTTTCAGGTACACACACAAACACACCTGCATCAAAATGCTTCTTCCTTAAACCACTCACACCAATTTCATTATCACAAGATGTATGCAAGTCCCTTCTAATTTTCTGAGGTTGCAGATGGGAATGTTGAGGCATCCAGTTGGGGAAACACAGAGAGCGAATAAGCTCATCCATCCAGGAAATGATGGCAGGGTCTAATACGATTTTAAATCGCACCAGGGGCAATGCTGGGTATAAATCCATACCCTCAGCCTTAATGATGATCATCAATTAGAACACATATTTAGAGCTCACTGCTGTTTGGATGTATGGCTGTCCTGAGGCCGCCTCGTTCACAAGTCAACGCATTGATCTTACGTGGGAGTCACCTTTAAAAGGGGAGATACTGAAAGACAGTTTTCAGATGGGCCTGAGAGAAAATGTATTGGAAATAATACGACATACACCACCAATAGCTATAAGATGGACCTCAAAATACACACTCGCATAAGCAAATGCATACAAGCACACACAGAATTATACAATAGCTTGTTTGTCTCTATAACATATTCTCACTCAACTCAAACTCCCCGCAGGGTTTGTCTTAAAATAAGGCCCCTCTGCCTCATGGGTCCCTTCAATCAGAATGTTAGGGAAATAGAGCCAGTAAATGAGAGCCCTTTGAAGTGTGTGAGTGTACATTGGTGTGAACACATGTTTCATGGATTGCCTGTTGTTATACATGTGTTTGTGAATGTGTATGTTGTGTATAAGAGAGCAGGCTGCAGCCATTTCATTCTCATGAATAAGTGAAGAGATGTAATGGATGTCATTTTCGTTGCTGCCGTCTGTTTGTCATGCTGGAAAAATGTAAACATCGTAATGTAACTGACTCACTTTACGCAGTCTCCTTGAACGACAAAAAAACTCTAATACTCGAGTCTATTGGAATAACCCAATTTTGCATACAATGTCTGATAGAGCGTCAGAGGCCCATGTTTCCACTAATGCCCTTCATGTAAAGTAACTATAAGATGTTAGACCTATGAGTAAATGACAATATTTTAACTATGCAGGTTAAGGGGCCCTGTTGTGCTAATTTCCAGGTTCATATTTGTATTTGTTGCTTCTTTTTTGTAACATGTCTCCATGCTTTACTTTTCAAAAAGCTCTTTATTTTTCTCATGCTGCAGCACCTATTTTCACCCTCTGTCTGAAACCAGAGCCCAGTCTCAACAATGCTTTTATTGTCTGTCCATAGCCTTTGTGTACCTTGTATTAATTATTATGTGTGCCTTTTATATTTTCTTATGTGTGCCTTTTATCTATTATTGTAATATTATATTGTATTATAATGTTATGTTTGCTGTGAAGCACTTTGGTAAACCCTCTGTTTTTAATATGTGCTATAGAAATAAAGTGGATTGGATTGAATGTGTTGGAGCGCTTAAGGCAGGGGGGGAGAGTGTGTGAGAGAAACTCTGGGATTGTGTCCTTTGCAGACCATTTACATGCACAAAAACCTACATAACACAGTACAAGAAAGGAAAAACCCCAAAAGCTTAACAGGGCTAAAGTACCAGCACATCTTCAAATTAAGTATAAAACTGCCTGAAAAGGCTCTGAAAACAACAGTTATACAGTTAAACATTTTCAGTTGAACATTTGAGGCCACAGCAGTATGCAAACCACACTCAAATGTGTGTGTACTGGTTTGACTGGGTTTGCAATTACACTTGATGATCAGGTTTAAAATACAAGTAATTGAGAATGCAAATTAGATTTTGGGCGCTCCAGTCTGGGAGGTGAAGTGGTTCAAAGTGTTTCTTCCCCTTCATTAAGTACAACTCATTGTTTTAATTACACTTTGGTTCGGCATGTTGCTCCACTTTCTCTGTTGTTTTTACTGATGAAAAATAAGCATCTGTGGGCAAGGGAGAAGCCTCGCTGTGCTCAGAGAGGCAAGCGGCGGACCTATCTAATAGAAGAACTCTGGCAAACTCCCCATACTCACACACAGGCACACACACACACAAACTCACACTGTCACTCTGTTTTGTCTCTCTTGTCTCCACACATGAATGCTTTCACAAAGACGTATTCATTACCATTTTCCTAGTCACACACATATGAGTATACAGATCATGTGCACACTTGGTTTTGAGAATACATCAGATATCTGCGGAAGGCTGCATCGATGGCTAATTGCCTGTGTTACCAAAATAAGTGCCCCTTTTGTCCTTCTTCATTAGCTTTCAAGCCACCAATGATGACACAAATCATTATTTTTGAACATAATTTGTGCATAGTTGCAAGAGAACCAGCAATTTGGGGATTGATTAACTGAAAGTCCTTGACTACATTGATTCCTTGTTGCTGTTTATGTTTCTCTCAAGGGTTTTGTAGTCCAGCTGTATTGTTGCAGCATCCGATGCAGCAGAAGGAGATCCCAAGGCGGGCCGCGCCACGCCTGTTTTGTTACGATGCTATTAAGCTTCTTACAAAAGTCTTAGAGGAGACAGATGGAGCATCTCTGACCCCTCTGTTTTTGAAACTAAACTCGAGAATACAGGAAAGGACAGCAATGTGACAGTTAACCGAGGCAAAATGTGTTCTGTCAGTGGCTATGTTGGCAGATTTGAGCAATGAGTCACAATACACAAGGGGAAATGATCCAAAAAAAGACACTTCCCTCTATTTGTGAAAGAAAAAAACAGTTTATAAAATGCGGCAACGAAGCTGGCACTTCGGCAACAAGAATGTTTGAATCACTCTTACCTTCAAAAGACACCTTGAATCCCAGGGAGCCACTGGTGTCGTCTGTTTTGAAGTTGAGCCACATCTGGTGACTGGTGCTAACCACAAGGTCTGGAGTCGTGGTTCCAGACAGGCTGCAAAAGAGAAATGATGTCTTTAAGATTGTTGTAAACACACCGTTTGTTTGTGCTACTTAGGTTGTGACTGCATGGTGTGTCAAATGTGAATCCTGGATCAGTTGTTTCAATTCATATAAACAGTGTTTGCATTTACTGCAGTGGATTTGGAGCAATTTGAATAGCACTGTCTCCACTGCATCATTAAAAACGTAATGCAAGCAGAAGAAGAAAGACAACAACACCTGAAGATACATTTTAAACTATCTGACTTTACTCATCAAAGAAAAGTGTTCTGACACAGTTGCAGGCAATTCCAGTCTGAGAATGTAATACAATAAAAAAAAAAGTGTTCATTCAAAACAGTTGGGGACAAGAAAGTGGAACATGAAGGCAGATCAGTCAATGCCAAAGAAATAATGTAATCCTATTTGAATAGTTATTCCCCCAACTCTAATTAGGAAGTGTATAGCTGTGGCGTAAGTGATTAAAGGCTCTAATTTGAGTGATGGCACACAGAGGACGATAGGAGCAGTAAAGAAGCTGTCTGGGTAAGAACGGTGTGTGATTGTCTCCTTTCCTGCAGTCTGACAGTCAGAGTGTTTCTGTGAAATTGTTTATACATATTTGGAGGGAAACCATGTTGTGGGGATTGCATTGTCTGCCAAAAACAACCACTGCTTTTTGTTAGACATTTGTTTGTTTTACCACAATAACTCCAATAGTTTTAATTAACGCAGGTTTGTCGGCAATTGGAATGGAAACACATTCTGTCATTTATAATTTACCTGCAAGTTAATCACTCTCTCAAACACTATCCTTGTTTGAAGTAGTCTATCTGCTGATGATAATTATGTTCTCCCCACACAAGGACATCATTTTTCCATGGGAAACACGTTTGTGGCAGACTAACACCAAATTGTTCTCTCCTATAATCAAACTGTCATTGCTCAGGTTCTCTGAAGTGAAAAGAAGAGATTTGATTGGATGCGACTCAGTGCTTATTTACCAGCACATTTATGACTGTGCTGCAGCAGAGCTACATTCCTCTGACCTTAAAGTAACAATAGAATAATTCCCCACACCTTGCACACGCTTGCCTGCACCACTGATTCACAAAAATATAGTCCTAAAGAAACGGTGCTGATAGCTGAAGTTTATTCTCCGGTCCTAAATTGTTCTAGTAGTTTGTGTGCAATAGTGCATTAGATCTCGATGACAGAATTGCTCACTAGACTTTCATATCATAAAGAAGTCTGTAAAGGGCGGAGGGAGTTTTTAATTGAACAGATTAGCTCATTTTTGTGTGTTCTGTAAGTATGCGCACAATAATCTAAAAGTGAGGAAGATCTTCTCTTACCAACTAACGGACCGTCCACACAGCAGCGTTAAAAAATCTTGAAACGCTTCTGCCCATTCACTTTGAATGGGGTGACGTCACTTTGCCTCACTTTTCGCCGAACTGCATTGTGGGCAGGCGAGCGGAGATTTTCAGGATTTTCAGGATTCAAAGTTGAACAATGTTCAACTTTTGAAGCTGAGGTGGAAGCGTCAGCCAATCAAATCCTGTGTATGCAAATCTGACAGTTCAAGCGCTAGCCAATCAAACCGCGTGTATGCTGGGAGAGACATACCGCAGTTCATTTCCTCATATTCCAAAAAATGGAGGAGAAATTAGCGGTAGGGAATCACCCGGTGCTTTATGACCAGTCCCTATTTACCTACTGGGATACAAACCGGAGGAGCCAGGCATGGAGGGAGGTGGCAGAGACAGTGGTATGTTTTCGCCTGTTTGGGGAGTTTATATCCAGTTTACTTCAAACTTTTTTGCTTCGTATATCGGGGGCGGGAGATTCATGTGATTGGTTGTTGGTGCCTTGCTCGCAAAAAATCCCCAAGCTTCAGATACGCCCACCTCCAAGATTTTTTTAACGCTGCTGTGTGGACGGTCCGTAACTCTTACCAAATCCCTCCCCCTTTTATCTCCCACCTCCTCCCAGCTCCAACCCGGGTGAGGCAGAGCCACATAAAAATTGATCTATAAAACTTTATTAAGGTGGTACATTTCAGCGCAATTAATAACAACATCCTGTGAACTGTTATGGAGCATCTGCTAGCACAAACTCTATCAGGGGGCATCAATATGCAGTTTGCAATGCTGCACCACAGGGCTGTGATCTTGTTTTTAACATTGAAAAGAGTTCATGATTGACAATGTGATGCAGCATCAATTGTTCATGCACTGCTGCATCAGGTGGTGATGAAACAATCGAGAAACAGTACAACAAAGAGAAAAGGGCTGCAGGGTGAGAGCAAGAGAGAGGGATGATGCCCGCTGCAGGAAAGCGGAGGAGGACAGGAGGCAAGTGTGCCAAAAAAGAAAAAGGTGTGGAGTGAAAGCAAAAGATGACAACATGGAACATGAGAAACCAAAATGAAAATGATTTGGCAAATTAAAATCTGGAAGAAGATAGAGAACAGAGGGAAGTAGTGAAGCAAAAACAGAGAGGTCAAATGAGTCACTCACACGTGGAAGACGGTCTTCTGGTCTCCCACCACCTCCCCGTCTCCCACCGTCAGGGTGTCGTAGCCTCGTTCCAGGTCAAAGTCCACAAAGGTCAGCTTTATCACCTAGACAGGAGCAGTGGAAGTGGTAAACGGCAGATGCTTGGGTGCTCCTGACCCCAGATGCACAGGAGAGACCCCTCGCATATGTGACTTTCCATCCCTCTGCCCATCCATCTATCATCGATCACATTTTTGAATATGTTCCTGGCACAATTCCAATAAACCACATGTACCAGCTGTGTATGTTGTATCTAAAACCTTGATCCCTTTACTAGTATGTATTGCCCTTTAAATATTCACATACTTTCATGAATATACACTCATCTGAAATGATAAGGTATGCCCAGAGAGTTATGTCAGTGTATATGTGACTGTGTGTACAATTCTGCCACTAATCTCATATCTGATTTCCGCATAACCCAAAGTTGCAGATGACTTTGTGGCCTATGTTGCCGGACTTACAATAACTTTAAGCACAACAGGAGATGTGGCAGGGGATTTGAGACTGTCCACAAGGTAAATATATATATCATAAAAGTGGCACATAAGTTTCAAAAGATTTATGGAATGGATTTCCACGGTGAGGAAAACAGCAGAGCGGCTTATTTCATCTCATTTCTATTCCGCAGGTGGGAGCGTGGGAGAGAAGGTGAACAAGGTAGGGAAATCAATAAGTGTGCCGTAGCTGGAGGAAGCCAGGGGCAACTCTAATAAAGACAGGCAGACAAATAAGGTTTGATTATGATAGTTTATAAATAAGACAACAAAGCAGGGTAATGTCAGAGACCAAGATATACATAAATAAAAAGCAAAGCAAATGCCGTCTTTGTCCCCATTTTAAATTGGCTGCAACTGATTTCCTCCATATTGTTAATGTTTTCAGAGAGCTGAGAGAGCCAGACCTAATGAAAAAGCTTATATAAATGCAAATTGTATTCTGTCCTATGTTAAACCAGATGACTAATGAAAATTGCCACGGTAGAGAGAAAAGATGGATGGCGTGTAGGCAAAATAGGTCAGATCACTAGATAAATAGAGTTTCATACCGCAGACTCGTCTCCAGCCAACAGGTGGGACAAAAGGTTAGGCAGGAATAAACAGGAAAGCAAAGCCACCATATATATACTTTATATTTATTGCCATCTCTGACATCATGTCTGAAATGTTGGTTGTTTTAGAACCCGAGTGTCCCCAGACACTGACGGACAAACACTTAAATGATTGCCAAGAGAAGCCAGCTGCATTCGGTACCTTCAGGACATTATGAAGGAGCAACACTAGACAAGAACCCACATTAGTCATGATGTCACGAGGCTGATTTTAGGTCTAGAAGAGCTGTGTCACGTCCTTCCCTTGCAGTTCCGCCTCAGTCTCCTGCCTGACCTAACGTCTCCTCTGGCTGGGCCTATGCGTACGGGCAGGAATAGAAGCCCATTACGCCGCTAAACAGAAAGAACAGCCTCGCTCCATCTTCATCTGGACCAGACAACAGGGCGAGAGACAGCCCAAAGTACCATTGTCTGTTTCAGCAAGCTGCCCGCCGAGAATACCCAGGGGTGTGTGTGTGTGTGTGTGTGTGTGTGTGTGTGTGTGTGTGTGTGTGTGTGTGTGTGTGTGTGTGTGTGTGTGTGTGTGTGTGTGTGTGTGTGTGTGTGTGTGTGTGTGTGTGTGTGCAAGCAAAGCGGTAGAGTGGATAGGTGTGTATATCATTACACCCCTCTGCCTTGCCTCTCACCTCACATAGCTTCTCCTCAAGTTGGCATAGTGCAATAAGAGAACACATTTGTACGACCAATTTGTCTGAGTTCAGAGAAGGATATTTGGCAGGAGAGCAGCTGGGTGGCCTTGAACACAACTCCAAAGTCAATGGTCTGAGCAGAGTAGCTATGACACTTTCATGATATCTTCTGAGCATGCTCTAAAACCTCTCCATTACTCCACCTTCAGTTTTCTCCTCTCCCTCACCACAGGTGTTTCTAACAACTCTCTTTGTCTTCCTTTGGCTCATGTCCAGCGCCCACAAACCATGTCATATCTTCTATGAATGAGCTTCTGTCACATCACACAAATGTCGTGTAGCAACTTTCAGATGTATGAAACCAGACACTCTGGTTCCTCTGGATTTCGCTTTGCAAACACACCCGTCAACTGCTGTTCAGTTAGCTGGCGGCTAAACACACCACTTAACACACTGCTGGAAATAAGTGATTACAGGAGCAAAGTAGCACCTCACTGTTGCTTAAGTCCCACGGTTAATGACTTTTACCTTGGTCATGTCCGTGGCTGAGATGAGCCAAGTGCAGTTAGCATTGTTGTCATATTGGACCGGGTAGTTTGGGGACGTGATGACACCACTGGGTCCTTTCAACTGACCTCCACACATCGGTGCTACAAAGGGAAAAAAGAGAGAGACACAGAGAGAGAGAAATGTTCGGTAAATGACACATGTTTACTCCACCAAGCGTAATGCTGTTTGACTGCTGGTCATCATTTAAACCCCTCGGCCTATTACGGTTTCTCCTTACTTTTATTGTTTTTTAAGCCTCGTGCAATATGTGTAATCAATATATATATTTCTTTTTTTTCTTTCTTCAAATCCTGTAAAAAGGAAGCGAACATTTACCAGGTGACTTGGATGGCATCCTAAAGCATTGCCAAATATAATCAATTTTAAATTAACAATGCATTAGTTAAACTTCACATTACTTTTCTGACTGAACTGTAAACAAGCATCCCTTTTGAATGTTGAAGCTGTTTGTCAAGCGCTTGGTGATAATGATAATCTGTCCTTTTTTTAAACTATCATCAAATTATAAACCAAAGAGCCATCAAAACAAAATCAACTGCTGTGCATCCTCTAAGCACTTGACTTGCCAATTTAGCGTGGCAGTGTGAAAAATAGACTGATGAGGGATTAAATCGAGGCCATAAATCACTTACGTTTTCCCACAGGTTTAAAATACGGCCGGTAGTAAACACACCAGGATAATTTATTATAAGAATAAAACAAATAATTTGACATTAGACCGTCTTTATGATCCTCTGCCATTGTTATAATGTTTCAAAATAAATTTGGGCAGTCATTAATATAGTTGGGTTCTTTCCAGAAACACAAATTAAGTAACAGACTCAATATGTTATTTAAAGAGCAGGTAAGCAGTTAGCAAACCAATCTTTGAAGGACACTGTGACTTCTTTATCGAGGCCCGAGGGTGTCTGTTAAATTCCCCTTCAAATTAAAGCAGAATTTGTAATGAGTCCTGTAAGGGAGCTGAAGGAGTTTGTACGTATACACATGTGGGGTGTAACCAGAAATTATTTGAAAAGGCCCTGAACCAGCTACCCAATTTTTTAATGAGTTATGTCTAAGAAAGGTCCTTTGGGTGTTCAGGCCCCATTCAGCAGTTCCATGTTCCAGCCCCCTCCCACCAAATCACCCCTATTAAAAAGTAAGAAAGAACTTTAGCGTAGTTAATGGGAAAATAGAGTTATTAATTTGAGTTGTACTGACAGTGAGGGTGACCTTAACCCTTGTGTTGTGTTCGAAAGCTGTTACCGGCTCAATTTTGACCCATGATTTATTTCAGTCCAAAAAACCAGGTGCATGTTGCGAAAAATTATTGTTACAGTGGATGAAGGGGGTGGGGGAGGGGTGTCTAAAGTCAAAGATGAATCTTGATTGGGCCAAATTTGACCCTGAGTCACCCAAAACAATGCTGCTGGGTCTTCCCAGACCCGAACACCAAATTATACACTTTTTTTTTTAAGAGACCTTCAGACTTGGCTAAAATTGTCAAAATCAGTTTTGTAGTGTTTATATATCTGTTGTGGAGGATATCATGAAGCCTTGTTCCGATAAAAAAAACTAGAGCGTAGTTATTATATCATTTTAACTTGAAACGGGTCACGGGAGACCCGAACACAACATAAGGGTTAATGAAAATAATACAGCAGAAAAAAACTCCACCATACAACCCATGACGTTCATAACGGAAATGAATTGCAGGAGGTAAGTGTGTCCAGTAAGAAGTATAAACGTAACATGGCTTTCAAGTCATGGGGAGTTAATTGTTCAGCCTTAAGATGAAGATTTTTCATTTGCAAATGATAGTGCTGTTCAATTTAATGATGACTAATGCTAATTTAGGACACAGAGATTAAATTATCCCTGGATATTTAATCTTCATTGAGAGGGAACAAAGACGCAGCAACAAAGGTTAAATGTGGATGATGGAATGAGATTTTCTTTAAGGGCAATTTCATTGACATCCTTGTGGATGCTATGTCAATCTGGAGTGTGTCTTTCCATAAAACATAAAAACTACTGTCGATTGTACTTTGCGGTATTAATATTTTTTTAAAGAACAGAAGATAAAAGTGTTTTTGTTCACATTGTTTCGTGCCACAAAACTCAAACATTATTTTCTGAATGGGAGGTTACTGTCCATCTTATATAAGACGAATCACTACCAATCACCCCAGCCCTTTAATCCTTCTCAGATCCTGCCCCGCTCTCCTTAGTGCTGTAATTTAATTTTGGTACAATTGGATCAGACTAAGATAAAAGAAAGAATGGAGGAACCTGTGGAATGCTGGATTTTGAGAATGCATTAACTGAAGTGGAGTAACATCCATGAACTATACTGTTGGTGACGTTAAAGGAAATGCTGCAGGTGATTACATTAGACAAACCCCTCAGAGATTAACCAGTTTAAAAGCCCACATGGGGAAACTGGTACAACATGCCTGACATAGACCTGCTGGGGACAAAGGTCATTATTGGTATGTATATTTGGATTAAAATGGGATATATAAATTACATCAAATTATCACTTATATATGTAATTTCAAAGCCTTTTTTGGCCACTCTAGGAAAGTTGAAATAAGTTGTGATGAAAAAAGTGACATTCTATCACAATTGAAGGTGATATGGCTCATTGTTAGCGACTCTTTACACATCCAGCAGTTTTAAAGCCACCTTATAATTCATTCTGAGATGGGCTCGTTACATCTGATGAAACGGTGTTTTAGCGCTGTTGTTGGTGTCCATCAGCTACTTACAAAAAAAGATGTCCCTTTATATATATTCTCCTCCTTATCTTGACTGGCTAGTCACTAACTGTGTCTGAATGCTGTGTGGTTCTGAGCAAGAAGTGCACAATGTGTTTTTGAAACTGTTTTACGGAAAAAAGCGGCCAAAGCTTCCAAAAAGCGATTATAAAAAAGCTGATGAAAGATACTTAATTTGACTATATTTCTCCTTAGTTCTTTCATATTAATTGATCTTTGATTTGCATTTTGTAGTCTACAAAAATGAAATATTAAAAGTAGGGACCAGTATGCTGAATGTATCTTATTAACTGGATTTTTTGGGTACAGAATTGTAACCTTTCAGCTTTAAGCAAAAACTACCAAGTTAAATATTGAAATGTCTTGCTTCAATGAATACACCTCATGCAGTAGATACCAATCCGTGGAACCAATTATAAGACACAAAAAAAGTCAAAAATGCTATCTTCTCTGATTAATTCAGTTCACTGAGGCTGAAAACTGAAACGGAGGAGCAGATGAGCATCAGGGAGAGCGTACAGGGAGCCTGACCGCTCCTCCTGCCTGTCACAACATGGTCAGAAGTGAGGAGGACATGACTGATGGGCAGCGCTGCGTCGGCATGGCTAAACAGCAGGCAGAAAAACAATGCTGGCCAAAGGTCAAAGTCAGGGCAGTCACAACAAAATGGATAATCAAAAAAAGGACTGTGTATATCCATAAAGTGACCGCACACTCACAAGTATCATGACACATATAAATGGAGGTCACATTTACACTGCGAGAGTATACATACATGACAACCTACTCTCTTATCTACGATCTTAAGTGGTGTGTGTGTGTGTGTGTGTGTGTGTGTGTGTGTGTGTGTGTGTGTGTGTGTGTGTGTGTGTGTGTGTGTGTGTGTGTGTGTGTGTGTGTGTGTGTGTGTGTTAGTCTGCGAAATTAGGCATGTGGGTGGAGCGTAGGGTGGGTTTGTTTTACAAGTCTGAGTGGGGATGATATATTATTTAATGACAACCATTTTTCATCGTTCTTTAATGAATGTATCTTTGTTTTGTTATATATATTTTATTTGTATGTTATTTTTTGGTTTTATCTCATTTAATTATTATTTGAAGCAAGTACATGTTTGGTTGAAAATGTGCATGTGATGTTATTTTTTTTTTTTTAAAGAGCAACCTACGTCTCATCAGTCCTTACCTCTGCATATAGGCCGGTCGTCACTCCATCCCACGTAGCTGTCTGTGACTCGGAGACAGCTGATGCTCTTTGAGCCTTGCAGTTCATAACCCTCGTCGCAGGAGAAATGCACCGTGGATCCTCGCCTGCAGTTAGATTGCATACCGAGAAAACACATCAGCATTTCCTGTGAAAAACACCTCTACCAGTGGGACAGCATATAAGATTAAAGAACCAAGAAGAAACGGTCACTGCTAAAAAAAACTATATTTTCTTAGACTTTCCAGGTGTGATTTCAGAAAGTGCTGCATTGTGGGAGTTGGGTGTATCCCATTTGTCTGTGTTACAGCTGACCACTGAAAGAGACAATAGCGGTGACAGGAATGAAACTCCATAATCCCAACGGCAATATCGCCATCCCACAGAGGCAACCTATTAGTGTGCAGTGGCTCAAATGGTAAGGTATCTGTTATACTGTACACTTCTCTATTGGTTTCGGTTGCAGCGGCTTTATGGGGCATGACTTCGGGTAATCGGCTGAATGCCAGAACACATTTCAAGATGCAGTCCCTGATTGGTAATAGCTCCCAATAGTTTCCTTCCAGCTCACTGTTGATTCAATCTTAACTGTGAACAAAGCTAAGATCATCAGTACTGCACTGGGAGATGTTTTGGGAATTAATTTGGGACTGGATGTAAAAAGGCAGAGTCTTAATACTGTGGTATTTCTGAAATATATATTTGTTTTTGTGTAGCATAATGGACTAAAAAAGTACAACTGTATTATGTTGTGCAACCCTGTTTTGCATAATGACAACATATGATAATTGAATACTTAAATGAATTGACTTATGGAGGTTGTCCCAATATTAGAACAGTACATTTAAAACATTTGAAAAGTATTAAACAACTTCTACTACCAAGAGACATTGGAAGTGGAAGTAATTAAAACTCAGCTATTATTTAATTCAAACAAAAGAGAACCAAATGGGGAGAGAAAATGTATATTTAATTAAAAAAAGAGCACTTTCTCAGAACACCCTTATACATCTTGTTAAATAGACCTTGAGAATTAAATTAGAAAATCTTATTTAAATATACATATTTGCTGAATTGTGACAAAAGGCCAATTCAAAAACTGAAAATGAGGCTAATGAATGCAATATCCACATTAAATACAGACAGAAAATACCTTTGCTTTAAATGTATACTGTATAGCTCTAGATCAGGGGTCAAACTAAAAAAATACATATATAAATATTTAATATATATAAACGTATGTATTATATTACATTATTGCCTCTGCATTGGATTATTATGGGATAGGGTAATAACTTCATAATTAACTACATCTGAAAGCAGAAGTCTAGGGCAAATAATTGGAAGTCTCTTCAGTGAGAATGTCACAAAATAATTTTTTTTTAAAAAGCCAAATTCTGGAAAAAATGATTGTGAAAATGTTAAACAATTTGAAAATTTGAAGCAAAAATGTCAAATTCTGAACAAAATTCATATTTCAGATGCATTTTGGGACAAGTAGTTTATGGGCAACGTGCTTCTGTAAATCGGCATGTAACCGTATAATAAACGTATTATATTCTTTCAGAGCTCTTGTGGGGCCACATTAAATGAAGTCGCGGGCCGGATTTGGCCCCCGGGCCTTGAGTTTGACACCCCTGCTCTAAATGATATAGCCTAATAGTGTCATTATCTTTTTTTTCTCAAAGAAAGGCAAAGTCTTAGCAAAAAAAAACACAATAGTTATTAATCACATTATCTCCATCAACCTTTACTTGTTCAGTCACAAGTGCTACTAAACAGTGTGCTTATTGAATCATCCTGTAATCATGCTTTTACCCGTAGTCTGTGCCTTTTCTTTTTCCTCGGTCTGGGATGCCCGGGTCTGGACACATGTTGTGTCCCTGCGCGACACCCATCTGAGACACTAATGGGAGAAGACCACAGAGACATTTACTGCATTAAGGAACATTTACCATACATATATTTCACAAGGTAGTTGTAGTACACTTACCTGGCCACTGTGAAATATTGACAGTAGTCCAACCACATCATCACTTTTAAAGAGTCAAGAAAGGGCTTTTTTACCCAACATTTGTTCTCTGTATTTCTCAGGTTGCTAGATGTCAATGCAAGAGATTAAAAAAACTAAAAGTATATGATGGGTCATGTTGTTTATGTTCCGCCCTCTGGTGGTCAATATCAACTTTAACCTTACAGAACAAATGGATACAAAGTTTGATAAGTGTAATTGAAGCTTCCTTCATCGTTTTGTATTGTCACACAAGAGAAGTGCTTGGTATTTACCCAGCACTACCTTTGCTTCATTAAATCATCCGGCATACTCAGGTGGTGCTCTGTTTAATCATGTTTCTGGGTGCAAAACAGTGGATGGTGAGGGGCCAGAAGGGGTCAAATAAACTTGGCCGAGCAGAAGGGCCCATCTCACTGACTGGGAGGGGTCAGAGGTCTGCGGGGCCAAAGCAATGCGACACCTGCTCATTGGCTGGGCTGCCAGAGTGAGGCAGGACAGCAATGAATCTAAAACAAGGCTCACTGGTGTCAGCAGAGGCAATGAAAACAGGGATAATAGACCTACTGTTGAATACACACTAAAGCAGGAAGGTGTTGACTAAGTCAGTGACTTTACAGGAGAAACTATATTCTGTATTTTCAAACAAATCAATTGACTGACCCTATAATTGATGTGAACAATCTAAGATATGTTTTTAAAGATTACAAAGCAAAATACATATCTGATTAGCTGCAAACAGATTTGTGTTGTTAGGGAGAAGGTCAGGATTATAATTTACAAGAATCTTCATTTAAGAACGTTTTTGTTCTTGAGTATTGGGAACACGTTTTTTATATACGATGAATCACATTTACATTTTGCATTGGGAAACGTTGAAACATGTATAGAGAAATATCATTGGTTAAGGTACAAATTATAACGTACACATTGTTTCTTAGTTCTAACCAAAAAGAAATCACTTTCACTAGAACAAGCTTTTCCCATTATGTGCCTCTATTCTATTTAAGGGTCACAGTCAGTCAAATCCTGTGAAATAAAATAGAAAGAACAGGAGATAGGGACATTTAAAGTGGAAGCAGTTGAAGCGAAAGTAAAATGCATTAAAGCATTACAAAAGAAAGCTAGGGAGAAGTGATTTTACAAAGAGACATTCTGATTACAAGCAAGGTAGAAGGGGATACATGTAAAATTGTAAATGGCCTTGAGGCAGGATTACCACTAATGCATCTCTGTTTTGTTGGACAGGTTGTTCTTAAACCCATCGACATCCCTCTGTGTCCCTCCACACAGGTGGCTCATTTAAACTTGTTTAAGTTATAGATGTTCAAATAAAGCTGAATGGGATAATGAACAGAGAGCTCAGACAGAGGGCGGGGCAGAACAAGGGCAGGGAACACTTTCATCGTTACAGAGAGAAGCCAGTGCAATTACTGCTGACCATTTGCTCCTGGAGCTGCATCTGAAGCACAGACTGAGCGTCCTTTGTGTCTGTGCATCCCACTACAGTCAGTATTCACCTTCATCTCTGCTAGAGAAGGACTCCGAGTTAAGAGCGGGGAAAATGACTGCCTGGCATCTTCTTCAATAGACAGACGGACAAGTTGTCAAGGGAACACCTGTACTATATTTTTTAAGAGTGATGCAATTCACAGGCATATTCTCCTGGTCAGGGTATCTTTCTTGCATGGAGTTTGGTTTCTACTGCAGCTAGATTTAGGATATTTGTATTGCCATTAAACCAATTATACGCACATTTTTTACGCAGTCTGGATCTGCATGACAATAATCCTAGAGGTATTTGGTAAATTATCATTTGTTTAAATAGCAGATAGAAATCAGAACAACAAAATAATTGTCATCATGTCAAATATTGTTTTTAAGACTTTTGAAATATTGATTTAAGACAGTTTTATACATTTGAAGCATTATTTTCTAATTAACAAATAAAATGCTTTTTAAAAGGATCCGCTGCGGCTCTATGCAAACTTGTCAGTGAACAGTGCAATGAGAATAAATGGTTTCTTGCCAGAGATTTCACCCAAGATAAATATGAAGAAAACTACATTAAACTTTAATAGAAGTTGCTTTCCATTGTGCAACACTGTGACGGATACACTTCTGGCCACACTCGCATATTAAATACGTAGATGGAACTTTTCTTGAGATGAGATGATGTTGAGATACTATTTGTTTCAGACCAACTTATTTCCAGAACCGTGTTGAAAGGTAAAGTGTGTTACTTACACACTGATATCTTGTGGTGATTGTCTTTGCTAGGCAACATCTTTACACCTCGAGACTTAAGTTCAGTCATCTTCTTAACTGTGGAGGGAAACAGAGCAGAGACGTATAAGACAGCAGGAAGTGCAATAATGACACCCACACATTACAGCAGAGCCTAAATGTCTGCAGCATAAACACTATATAATACATAATGTTGCACACATCACTGCCCACACCCACTGCAGACATGTTGTCAGCAGTTTGGACAATTGCAATTAACGTAAAAAAGGTTCTGCCAAACAACAAATGATCTTAATTTTGTACTTTTCAAGAGATCTACAAAGACATATGTTTAACGCATACATAGATGAAAATAACTAAACAATGTACATTTTCTTTGCATTCGTGTAGGTAGAAAATTACAGGGAATAACACTATTATTACATTAGGAAGGTTAGAGAGAAAGGGGTTAATTAGGAGAAGAAACACAGTATACGATTTATACGATAAAATGATGAGGTTAAAAATATTTAGTTTAATGATCAGTGCTGAGAAGAAAGAGCCATCATAGCTAAGTGGAAGGCTCATCTAAATGCATAATTATTCAGCAATTAAAAAAACACTCAGCATTGTCTGTCCCAACTCCACACTCATCATATTTCTTACAAAAGAACGTCACTTGTTTTCCATAAATGTTTGCTTTGCTCAGTTTCAGCTGCTTGGCAATTGAAAGCTTATCTGAGTCATGTCTCAAAAAGTTTGTTTTAATAAGTCTGGAAGGAAGAATCATAATGCAGAAGCTTTTCAGATTGCAACCCTGATTAGAAAAAGGTATTATCAGATTTCTAGTAAGAGCACTTGGGTTGAGGCTGTTTCCTGTACCACGCAAATTGAAAAACACTAGAGAAGAAAATATGAAATAAATAGAGCCAAAGAGGATATTCAACAGAGAGTAATTTCATTACTGCAACATGCCGTTGAAGCACGGGACCTGTCATGAGAAAGGCTGGTGGGAGGTGGGGGATGGGAGAGTGTTTAATCTAATTAAAGTGTTTGCCTCCCACTTCCCTATGATCTTCTAAACATATTTATCCACCAATAAACCTGTAAACCCATAGGATCACCGCCTTGTCTTTTCCATATTCTTCATCTACCTCTCTTCCTCCATTTTATCCCTTCCCTCATCTTTTATCCCTCTCATCATATTGTCTCTGAGATTTCCAGCTAATGGCTAGCGGTGAGGTTCTCAGTTATCACCTTTTCTGTGGAAGAACTAATCATGTTCCCCTGCTCATATTTTCTAAAATATGACCTCTACTCTGCCAAAATGTGTGAAATGATTTCACATGCAGCAGGTAAATGGTAAATGGACTGTACTTATATAGCGCTTTATCCAGTCTTTACGACCCCTCAAAGCGCTTTACATACTACATGTCATTCACACCCATTCATACAGAGCAGTGTACCTTACTCTAGTAACTAACATTCATACACATTCATACATCGTTGGCCATGCCATCGGGAAGAACTCAGGGTTAAGTATCTTGGCCAAGGATACATCGACATGTTGGCTGCACGGGCTGGGATCGAACCGACAACCTTCTGGTTGAAAGACGACCGCACTCCCTCGCAGCCACAGTAGGTAGTTTGAAAACTTGCAAACAATATAAAGAACATTACGATAATTTAAGAAAATGTAAGCTCATTTGCAACTGGGAATAAGAAGACTGATGTGACTCCGCTGAGCTTGTTTTCTTTTTACTAAATTAGACTTCAACACATTTTATGGTATTCCAGTTTGTTTGTCTTGAATGTTGTGCAAAAAGGGATCTCACTAAGGTACAGTTCACCCCGAGTGCTCAGTCAGATTTCAAGGCATCGTGCCTCTTGAGTGTCCGATATGGGAAACGTATGACTTTTTTCAAGGCTGTTAGTGACTAGATGTTTGTTATTCTTGTATAAGTAAAACCTATATTCACATTTGGTCACCATACATATTCAGATGTATCCTAAAGGGGACTCAGAATATCCAAATCAAATATGATGAAAATCCAGTCATTATTTGCTGATCTGTAAAGATGGGACACATTATGAATGATGGTCCTTTTAAAACATCAAAAGCACTCTTCATCTTACCTTGGTACTGGGCGCTGAAACCTCTCAACTTGTGGTTGCCGTCAGAGGTAAAGTGCAGCCGAAGCCAGTTCTTGCTGCTAATGATGGGCGAGGGAAGGTTGGGGCCAGTGAACCTGTAGGCAAAGAAACACAGAACAGAGATTAGCATGTTAGCACGGTTGCGTTTTAACAAGCAAACATGAAGTCCGCACATTGAAAACTGCAGTTATACCCTGTACATTTGTAAGTGTATTTAAGGTTAAAGGCTCGGTATGAACCACTGCCATCTGTAGCATCAGTTGAAGCTCTGATACACTTCCTCAGTACATTGCAAAAGGAGAAGCAACCAGTCTGTTGTGGAAAATCTCAATGTCCCTTTATTAATGTATCTTTATATTCGTTAATTGTCTAGTTTGTCAGGGCATAGCCTCATGGACCGTATATGCTGGGAGTCCAATGTTTTACCGTTTTAGGTAAATGATATCCTGCTGTACGAGTAACTGATATTGATGCACACATCATTTCTTGAAAGAGTCATCTTTTACTCAATCTATAAACGTCCTTTGCAAGAAGTTATTGAGCTTGATAGCGATTCTGTTTTGGGCCATGAAGCAATTATGTAATCCATCAGATTTCCAATAAAGTCAAGTCCAATGGCAGACTATATATTACCAAGGCTTGCAGAACCTGCCAGTCTTCCTGGTGATTGTCTTGTTTGTTTATGGTAATTATACTAATGTTTCAAAGTTAATGTGGCCTTTACTTAGAGATGGTAAAATGTTACACCTTTGAGATCTATTAAAGGGAGGGTCTGGTACTCAAGGGGAACTGTAATGTTAACGACTCTTAACCAAACTGTGGCCCAATAAAAAATGCGACCGGGAAGGATCGGCATTGGCATTTGCAGAGAAAGGACCCTCCTTTTATTACTTTGAAAAACCAATTGTGAATTATACTCCACAAACACTTAAAGTGCCTCCTGATCTGTATGCTAATGAGGGCTGCTGCTTACAAGGCACTTTTTCAGTTGTTAAAGTAAAAGCCATTTGGGAACACATCATGTGTTATCTTGAGACACACTAACACAATCTCAAACACACACGCTCATACACATGCATACAGTGTGCATACATTCCAATTGCCCACCTGTAAATTACATTTCCCAAACTGTGTCCACCTCATCTCCCAAACCTAAATACCAGCATCCCTCTGTAGTAATTTCTGATTAAACCTCCGACCAGCTCTCATTAATACAGCGGAATCAATCAAAGAAAAGTGAAAATGTGATTAAATAATGTAATAATACTGAGAAAGAGAATGGAGAAAGGGTACAAGACACATTTTGGAAAAAATTGTTTGTGTACTGATGCCGCTGGGAAAAAATAATAAATCTGCTTTAAGCATACAGCTCCAACAAATAAGACAATGAGGAGATACTTAAGTCTAGAGAAGATGTTTGGTGGAAATACGTGTCTGCACTGTAGAGCTCTCATAGGATCAATTAAAAGCATACAGCGGTAGAGATGTAGACAGAATTTGCTTTTATTTTTATGAAAACAGAGCACTTTTCGTTTTTAAAGTAAGCCCCTGTTGCAGTGGGGCCTCGGCTTCACTATACAATAGCTTTACGTTTTAGTCAAGGTGAACACAAGGTCACCTGAAGGATCGGAGACTATAGGAGTGTAAAATAAGTTTCTAATAGAGTTTTGAGGAACAGGCATATCGAAACCCAAGGGAGAAATAAGACCGTGATTTAATAACGGCATATCAAAACGTCAGTGATTTGGCTTTTTCAACCACACTGCACACAGAGAGCAGAATGGAGAGTATGTCACAGATGAAGCTAAATTGTTTCTCCCGTCTCCCATGGCAGCCAATCTCCTCGCTTGTAAGTCAGTGACACCAATGACCTCAACCCTCATTTAAGAGATTTCCACTGAAGCAACTTTCACTAATCACACGGTGAAATGTTGGAGACTCAAAAGGTTGAGGCCAGAATCTGGAGCACGGTTGGTTTTGACCCCGTGTCCAAAACAGGTGACGCAGCTCCTTTGTAAACATCAGAGGCCTTGATGAAAAGGGTAGGTGTTTAAGGTGTGTAAGTCAAAGGTGAGTATGTTTGTCTGTGCTGTATGTGTGTCTTTATGCCACAAACTCACCTTCTTAAGCTTATTTTGGGGAGAATGTTCAAACTGGTGTAAGGTTTTAGTACTGCACTATAATATTATCTTTTCACTCGACACAAACTGCTTTTTCTGCTTCTAATAATTCAAAAACAACCCAACGTTCATGCACCAAGTTGATTAAACCTGAGAGAGACCTACAATACACTGGGCTTTAAAAGCAATTACATGTAAAGGTTTCATGAAATGGCTTAAGGCACGTTTGTCAAACTCAAGGCCCGGGGGCCAAATCCGGCCCTTGGTGGATTTAATTTCGGCCCGCAGGATCATTTTTAATTACCATTAGATCTGGCCCGCCGGGATATTGCACGCACACCTTTACTCAATCCTGACCGCAAACATTGATGAACTTGCACCCAAGATGAGATGCCAAGTATCTGAACTAGCATCACAGAGCAGCAAACTGAGTTTCAATGGATGTTTCCTTTTGCACTTTTTTTCTCACGACAACAGGGCATGTTTGGTTTTTTCTTTGAGGGAAATTGTTTTTTTGAAGCTGTTGTTGGCCTGTGGAGAAATGTAATCATAAGAAATGACTCCAGAAAAGCTGCAGATAGAGCCATAAGAAATGAATGCAACTGATTATTTAATGTTTAATGTTGTTTTTATAGGCAATAATGTAAGCTTTGTTAGTTCCAGATGTAATATGTGCAATAAGTTCATTTCAATAAGTTTTGCAATAAACATTGAACCAGTCCGGCCCACTGTGTATTTGAGTTTGACACCCCTGGCTTAAGGTATTATCAAAGTGGTATTTTATAAATAACAATAAATATCAGAAAATCAAACATATTTAATCAAATATAGTCTCTGGTGTTTACTGGCATTCTATACATGTATTTATAAACATGTGCATAATTAGGTTATTTATCTGATCAGATTATAATGTGTTTCTCCATTTTAGTATGGCCTGGAGGCTGCATGGTGTAATGAAAATGAGGCGGAAATGTAAAGCTTTGTTGTACAACCCTGACCTTGATTTACAACAGCAAGTGCAAGACTGATAACGTGAGTCAGACGCCTCAGGAGATGTTTTATCACTTAAAGATGAAGCATTGAGGGGGATTGTACAGTGTCTGGCACACGTGTGTTTGGAGTGCTACTACTAGGATGGAGAGTGCCAGAATCACCTCTGGCTCTGAGTACATAGCTGCGAACAAAATCTCCCACAAATGAATTACAGTGTATGATCCACACTGCACACAAAGGCCTCAAAACACCAGTGCCAATATTTAAATGAAAAAGCCCTGTTAGTGTTCCTCCCCTCGTTCACCTTAGGGACACATAAAAATGTCCCTTTGAATTAAAGGCCAGTTCCAAACACAACAAGCAAGCTAAACACCCACTTAAGAGCGGGATAAACTGTGGCAGAGCCAGAGGATAAGGAGCTGACGGGTATGCCATTACGGATTAGGAGATTAATAAATATGGGATAAGGGTTTAAAAGGCTACCATAAATATCATTTTGACACCTCTGCCTTTGGCCATTTCACTGTTCCCCCTTTTTTGCTGAAAACTTCAAAGTTTTAGGGTGAAAATCATAAAAGGGCACAAGAGTAAAAGTCCTGAGTTGGCAGATGGAGGGCTCCTGAAGGGTGTTGTGGCCACTTCTATACCCTTTTCACCTCTCTCTCTGTCTGGCCGACCATATTCGATTTTATGCGGAATTGTCTTGAGAGCGCAGAGCTAAACCAGTTTCCATTTCCAGGTCCCAAAGCTCCTAAGTCTGACTCAGACTTTTGATGATTGTCCAAGGAATGCATGTAGGGCAAAGCAAGGTGATAGAGGCAGCCAGTGGTGTTGATGACTGAGGGGAATGAGCTCAAAACCATTCACTGACACACAGAGCTCTCTGAGAAACAGCTAGGCTTTGATGCAGCTCTTTTACATTGCATTCATAAAATGGTTGGACAACATGAAATGGACATGAAATGGTTTAACAGCTGCACACACTTAATAGGTGACATCCTATTTCTGAGTATCTGAAGTTGGAATTGCAAATCCTTGTTGCTCAGACTTGTCTTTTCACTGTCATATCATGATTGAGGGTTTTAGGACCAGTCAAAACTCATTTATATAACACTGGCATAGAGATACTTTCCATACTGATGAGATGTGACTCATTAAATTGTTAATGCCTTTCAGGATTTTGAACAAAGGTCGTTGTCATCATGCAATTCAGCAACCCTTCCCAGTGGAATGGGTCTATTTTCTGCTTTATATTCATCGTTTCATGTCGTCTGTTTTCTGTTAGAGGGGCAAAGGTGTCAAATTACTCTTTGCATAATCAGTGATGGGCGGAGTTTAGGTGTCAAAGGTGACTAGCTCCACATTAGGATCAAACGCTTCAAATGACCATTCAGGTAATGAGTTCATTGTGATGAAGCATCAAATGACCATATGTGTTCATGTGTAGGTGCTTGCATGCGTGCAGAGGGATGAAGAACGTCCCCATTAATAGCAGCTACTTAGGTAGATCAATCAGAGCTCTGCTCAGTATGCAGGTCCTGCTTACAGCAGAGCGGGGGTCACAGTGACTTTAAGCCAAAACTTTCAGCATTGTAATGAGGCTATGTGAATTATAGCACAGGTCCGTTTATCCAGATGTACATGCAGGCACACAAACACACACTCCAAACATTCACAGTTCCAAACAAGTAGGTGGATATCAATATATATATGTCTCTTTACCTCTCTCTTTCTCGGTCATACTTTCTATTGCACACACATACACACACTCTGAGGTAAAACGAATCAGTGTTGAAGACCCTTAAGAGCAGGAAGGCAGTATTAAAGCTGTGGCAGTGGAGCTGTGACCTTCAGATGTAACTGAGAGCAAACACACACTGGGGGATTACATGAACCACCAGAGCCCCCAGCTCAAAACAACATAGACCCCCTCAACACTGGTCATTTCTTCAAACAGCAACCACCCAGGCAGTAAAAACTAT